TGCACACTAAGCTTCACCTATAAAATGTTCCTAAATGGCACTTCTTTAGACATAACACACCAGATATCACATTTCCTGAAGGGCGTAAGATGTACTTAATTTGTCATTAGTATGTGGTCTGTTTAATGGTGTTCACAGTGAACAGTCACAGTGAAAGCCCAGCGCAGGTCTCATGTGTCATGCTGTCGCGGAGCAGAGCAGCCCCTCTCACACATTTGGATAATGCGATGGGCCCTCCATGTTTATCTGGTGATGCCTTCAGTCGCAGTGCACAGAAACCACATTGTGTGTATAATTTACCAGCAGCATTTGTCAGAAGAGGGATCTGTGGAGGCTAATGATCCACAAGAAATTAATAGGTTCATAAAATAGAAAAATCTACCGTTCACACAAGCATGGCAGGAGCCCGTGACTTTGATAAACTGTTAAATAAGAGATAACCGGCAGGGAGGGGGCTCATCATCTCTCTAGGGCGTTTCTACTGCACCCCAGGCAGCAGGAAGTAAGATATCTGCACTAACTCACTCATTACACCTGGCACTGAAGGTGGCAGAACTGGACTAAACATGACTACAATATTTCCTTCCATCAAACCCTTTTTAATATGGGACCAACTTAAGGTAGTATGATGAAAATGATCCAGCCTGAACCCATAGTTTTTATATAGCAGAGTAACAACCAACTGCACTAATTTCAGACTGCAAGTTCCACTAACCCTAACCACTAAGACACATCAGACTGCCATATAATGCAACAGTGGTAAATTTCAGTAACTAACACACTAGTTTCATACAATCCTATATATATATAGACTATTGTGCCAGTCCATGCATAAACCCCTCCAGATTGTTTTAATTTAATTATCACCATATGCAATTTATTACCTTCATAGTGTCATGTGTATTTATGTGTAAACTCCACTCTTTGATAGCCATAATGTCAGTCCTGGAAAAGCCGCAATGTCTGACTAAAGAGACAGCAAGCCCAAATGAATGTATAATCAGGCTTTGATTTCTGTGGGCAGAGTGGGTCTTCTGCCGACAGCTTGAGACCATCTATTACTTTACTGCCATTTCTTAAGTGTTTGCACCCACTGTAACCCTGCCACTTTATCTGTTGGTTTTTATTTTCAGAGTGCATGATGTCCATATGTTACCCTAATAGTTGCTATAACTCTTGTGCAGAGTTTGCATTTTAGGAGTCCTGAATAAAAACCTAGAGAAGAATGCATTTTACTAAAATGCCTATCTACAGCACAATATTGGGCTGACACTTAAGTATTTGCATAGCCAAATAAATGTATTACAAAATGAATAAATGTGGAAATTTTATTATTGCTGCCATGTGATACATTCTAACGGACTGGAATAGTGGTAATTGGGTGATGTGGGTGGCTTGACCAGAGTCTAAAAGGTGCTCATTTTCACATTACTAAACTGTAGCTCATACAACAAGAACAATAATGTTCTAATCAACTAATGACTCCTCAACCACAGAAACACAGAACTGCAGTTAAAATAGCTCTCTTTCATTTTTCAGCAGCACATTGGTTAACACAGCGCAGATTTGATCTCCAAATTGTGGGCCATGTTCTTTCCGTGAATAAAAATGAACTCTACCATTACTACCACTGTTAGATGCAATTTTGTCCAAAATGTTTCTCTAAATGTTTAGCATTACACTGATGTTGTTTTGTTATTAGTTTATGTTGTCTATGCCATATTGAAAAGACAACATAAACTAATTCACATCTCATTTTAACATAAAAAGAGAAGTGTAGGGAGTTAAAGGAATCATGAAAGTCATACACCACACACATATATATATATATATATATATATATATATATATATATATATATATATATATATATATATATAATGCATATATAATATGTTTACCTCTATTGGCTGACAAGACACCTGTTCATAAGATGCAAGTGGAGAAGCTCCTGTGACACACAGAGGTGAAACATCATTAAAAGAGATTATCTCAGAATAAATACTTGAATGAGGTTACAACCCAGGCTGTGCCCAACACATAGACCTGCAGATAACACGGCTCAAGATTATATCTCATGGTATCTCATCTGAGTCACTTTCCTAAGTATGCACTCAAAGATCACGGCAGCAAATGAGGCCTTCTTTGAAAGAGCACCTGGACTAAAATCCCATACACTTAATTATTGGCATAGGCTGTCATTAACTTGCTCAAGCAGACGGAGCAATTAGCATTGACTTTCTTTCAGTGTCCTATCGGCCAGCATTCAGTGGACAGCGCAATAATGCCACTGGAATGAATTAAATTCTCAGATGTAGAACACTATGGATTCAAGGCAGTGGAGCTCAGACTGTTTTCACTCAACCATGAATATGTGCTAAAAGGGTAGATAGCAGTCCTTTAGCTCAAGTGAGGGGAGTGCTGCCACTGTGTGGCCTGTTAGCTTTTCATAATGGGGGATCCCAAGGCGCTCCTTATCAGAAGACTCAGAGCAGGGTGAGTGAGATAAGGCCACAGGCAAATGTGAGCCACAATTCATTGCTGTGGGAGCCATAGCCCCCGTGACACATGTCCTTGTGTGTAATCTCTTGTACTACATGGTCGACCGAGAGTCTGTCAATGAATGGACTCTTTTTAAAGATGGCCTAACGCTAACACGTTAGTCACAGCAGCAAACAGGCCACAATTTAGAGGGATTCAACAGGTTTGGCAGGAACAAGCTGTCCTACTGTGTGCCTTTAAAGTAGGCATCAACCAATAATAAACTTTTCATTTGACCATTTTCACCTGCTTGCATCATCTCAATCTGTCCTCTTACAAAACATCTGCATTTGGCAATTTAACAATGTAATCATTTAACAGCCTAAATTCATGTTTTAGGAAAAATCAGACTTCATAATATAATACCTACCTTATAACCAAAGACATGCATTGTTGATTTTGGTGGATATTCAGTATTGATACGTTAGAACACTGCAAGAGCCAGCTATTTCAATTTTGCATTTCATGTTATTGTCCTTCGATTGCTATTGACTTCCATTTGCCATTGCTAAATGAAAATGACATAATTTGTCCGTACCTGTTCAGAGTGACCTGTGCTCCCGCCTGGACACTTCCTCACCCTGCAGCTGCAGACAAATATCAGGGAAGATCAGAGTCCCACTTTCTGGAGAAAGTGACGCCGGGTTGGCAGGAATAGGAGCGGAGATAGCGAGCACGATCTGCTTGGCAGAGCAAGTCAGACAACAGATGCTGCAGCCTGTCCCTGTGGGCTGGGGCCCATGTTCTACACCTGGAACACATAAAGCAATGTTCCTTCACACCTAGAATCAACACACAGCCTGTTAACTTCATCTGGAGATAAAATATACACAAAATGATTTAATCACAAGCGCATTATCAGGTGCCTAATTATCGAGGTTTATGGCTATTTTTAGCTTTGACATTCGCTTGATTGCGATGTCTGAATAGTTGTTCTAATGTAGCCATTGCTCCTCTGACTAATATTTTATAGTCACAGAATACATTTTAAAGAGTTCAAATGTAGCGGCTGCAGCTTCAATGACTAGCCCTATACAAGACTGTCTCCGGAGACAAAAAGAGAGGTGCCACTTCACCGTTAATAACTTCACTGTGCCCCAGCAGCCGGCAGGCTCCGACGTGCGCATGACCATTTACAACACAGCCTACCGGAGAGCCACGAACAACCCATTTATTACTATATTCAGAACGATTCAGAACGACACATGGTGTGCCAATGAACTTCAAAGCATTTAAAAAGCATTTAAGACTTGTCTACAGAAAACTAAAGCGTGGTGTAACTTTACCTTACAGAAGGGCCCGAAGAGATCGCAGCAGGAAAACATCCAGACCACAGAGAGCGTAAATTGAGTTCGTTTTTTTTTTTTTTTTTTTTTTTTTTATAAATAAAATGACATTTGGTTAATATCTCTACATTATTAACAAAAATAATCCTAAGTAAATAATTATTCTATTCTATGCCAAATATATGTACTCGGAACATAAAATAAATATAAATAGGCCTTTTTGCTATATCCGGCGATTTGAGACATGCTAATTCTTCTAACCCAATTAATAATTTACCAGATTCAGATTGACTCATGTTTGTTGTTGCATTTTTTGTTTGTTTTTTGTTTGTTTTTTAAATAATGACTGAATTGAATTGATTTTCCGGGACACGCGACATCCAGAGATCCACGTGCTAAGTAAAATATGCCAATCGAACCCGAACCTAAGCATGCTTTAGATTTGACTCTACTTAGTGTTAGTTATTTTAGATCGGACAGGTCCATGTCTTACACTCATAGAAAGTCCTGTCAAGACCTGCAAGTAACGGATCGACGTAAGGAGCGTTGTCTTTATCTTATTGAAGGAGGCCTAAACAATAGAATAAAATGAATACATCATGCATCTGTCATAAATGGCCTTAAATTATTGTTTTGCTCAAAGCCAATGACAACAACGCCAGCAGCAATTTATTACTTTTTTTAATTATTATAATTATTATTAAATAAAAGTGCATTACATTTATCTGTCAGAGCTGTGCAGTTCAGTCCTTGTTAACAAAGAAATTAGGTTAAAATCTGAGTCGCGTGTGGCCATGGTGGAGAAACAAGGAGCGAATATCACACTGTTCATATTTTAGAGAACCACACGAAGTTATTCAAAAAAGAAAGGTTTTGTCAGCTAGACAAATGCCATAGTCCACTCTGTTTACCATGAAATTGCGTCTGAATACTTGATTAACTCAGAGCGCTTTGTACAAAACACAAAAATTATGATCATTTTTATGGGATACAACTCACGGTTATATTTACAAATCTAAACTCCATCACTGCGTTTAAACGCTGTCCTAACATAAAAAGCTCTTGTTTCTTCTTATGAAGTTAAAGGACAGGCGTCTGTCACAGTGCAAAACTACAGCTTGAACTGTGCATGGTTCCGCGTGCGCTCGGAAGTCTTTCGCCCAAAATAGTCAATTAGGAGCTGTCATTTTCAGACGTGTGAATTAACAGCGACGAGCAGGGTTTGTGTTTTTTCAGCAGCTGCGTAATCTTCTCATCGTCTGAGTTCGGGTCCAGTGGTCTGTTGTAGTCATCATCGTCGTCTTCGTTGTCCGAGGTCCCCTTCAGCCTCTCTGTCTCTGAGTCCTGCTTCTTTTTGGCTGTGGCCATCTCCGCAGCATGTTTTTTCCTCCATTTCGTCCTTCTGTTCTGAAACCAAACCTGCGACACAAAAAAAGGAACAATGAAAAATCCGGCACAGAAAACTAGGCCTACGCCGAGTGTGTTTTCAACAACCCATGCAGTTTGTCTGGACTGCCATCCTAGTTATTAAATCAGCAATTATGTAATATACAGGGTACTGGAAAATAATAGTGCCAGGCAAAAGCTAAATAATGTGGAGTCACATGAGAGTGTGCAAAATATATTTTTATTAAAATAAATGAAGGCCTATTTGTTGCCATTTCTGTGGGCAATTATTGTAAGTGTGTTGTTATTTTATTATAGTAAAACAGTCTATGTGTAATTCAAATCTATTATCCAGCCCATATCTTACTATCTTAAAAAGAAGTCACTTTACCTTGACTTGGCTCTCGGTCATTCCCAAAGAGTATGCGAGCCGTGCTCGCTCTGGCCCCGCAAGGTATTTGGTCTGTTCAAAAGTCTTTTCCAATGCGAAAATCTGTTGTCCCGAAAATGTTGGCCTCGTATGTTTTCTTTTGCCATCTTTGTCCAGTAACACCGAATTTTGATCTGAAACGTGGAACAAAATACATGTTTAATCAATAAGCTATAGGATTAAACACCTGTTATAGGCCTCACGTCATCTTAAATTATCTAGGCAGTTTTTTTTATTATTATATCTTTATTTAGGCCTAAAAGGTCAATTAATTTCGTTAAAAAATAAAGTTGGCCATATTGGTTACACACTTACGGGGTGAACAGGCGAATCTGGCGTCCCTCCAGTGGGGGCTCTGCATGACTCCTGGCCAAAAGATAGGCGTTCTCCCCGGGAGGTCCGCCAGAGGTTTGGGGTACCGGGCCACGGCCACCGCGGCAGCGCTGGGACTGAAGTATAGTCCAGGAGGAGGTGGCGGGCTTAAGCTGCTGAATCGGGGCAGTCCTGACAGAATGCCCGCTGTTGAGGAGCCCACAGTGGATGAGCCCGTGGAAGAAGACGTGGAGGGACGGTTTAAGATATCATTTATCCCGTGAGGGGTCGCCGACGAACACTGTTGCGGGGAGCTCAGTCCGGAGGACAGTCCGGTTGAGGATTTGATTCCGGGAGAGGATACGGCCATGCCTCCCGGGTTAGGAGAAGTGGTAGCCGGTGAAGTGGAAGAGTTGGGGCCACTGGAGGACAGTGGGTACGCCGGGTACAAGGGGGTCTTCATCTCGGTCATACTGTGCAGAGCGGCCAAAGGAGGGGTGCTGAGGAGAAAGGCGCTCTGTCGGGACCCGTCCATCGGACCCACGGCTAACATTACCAACTGTGAATGTAGACACGAACCTGTCAGAAAGATCCACTCTGCGCTTTCACTGTTTCAGACGGCCCGCGCACCGCAAAAATCAAAACGAATATAGACTCACATTAAATGTCCATCACAACGCGAATTCGTACAAAATAAAATTAAATAAAAAGCGCGCAAAGATTTATGTAACATCTCTGAAGATACCGAAAAAAATAACAAAAACCGTTTTGCTGTATCCGTATATTCCACGCAGTTCTTGTGTTTTCTTCACCTCAGACAGGTTTGCCCAATAGCGAACAATAAAAAGACACTTTCTCTGTTGTGCTCAAGGAGTTGTTTGAGATAATAAAACATTATCATCTATTTCTAGTGTGTATTAGCTGAAAAGTCAAAAGTTTGAGAGGGGAGAGCGGGGAGCTGGCGGATGTTTGTGTCCGGATTGGGTGACCCGCTTGTGACGTATAACGAGTGGATTTAGGGCCGCACCCTCATTGGCTCAACAGCTGGGCTCTTATTTGCTAGATGTACAATAAAACGATCCACCAGTGACTGCAATCCGTTTTACTCAAAATGAAATTGATAGGTAAACTATTTGGCTATTTGTTACTATATGTGTACTATACTATTTGGCTACTATTTGTTTGACTTTGAGGAGAAAAGTAGGCCATGTTTTGGCATTTGGCTACATTTAAAGTAAACAATATTAACGAGCCAACATCGTCATTTACATTAATTATACTATAGCCTGATTTGCCTAGTGTGTATAGTATATTTATTCTTTTTGTATCTTTTAATACACATCAGCTCTGATGTAGGATTCAAATATTGGCCTAAAAATCTACTGGAGGACATTAGAACTCTTTCAGCACATCTAAATATTATCTACACAAGCGTGTCATTAATAGACTGTTTAAGTTAGATTTAAAGCTGGCCATCAAGAGTATTGCATGGACCTATTGTAGACACAGTGTTTATGACTTTAATAACGAACTTTTTAATAACTCCTCACACAAATCCAAGGCCTCTCACGGCACTTTTTACCCCAACCACCAGTGACATCTAGTGGTCAGCTGGTTGAAAGTGCCTTATGGTTGGAATAATAACTGAACAAGACAAAGGATGTCTTTCCAATGTTTGAGTCACTTAACTTTCATTAAATTGAAGCTTACACAACATTTGCAGGATATTTAAGATTATTTACCCACATCTCAGGTTCTTCCCTCACCAGTATAGGCTTATACATCTTGTACATGTGTAAACAAGCATCCCTTTCGCTTCACCCTGTAAGAACAGTGCTAAAATAAAGAATGCAACTGTCAAACATCAACTGAAAAAAATTTCAGTATCAAATGCAGTTCTAAAAATGTTTTCAAATAATCTGTACATTTGTCTTACTGGGGCAAATATAAACTTGAAAAAGTAAGCTCAACTTGTAGCACTGGCCATTTGCCAAAACTTTTCCCCTACTACTGACAACTCTAGATAAGCCATTCAATAAAGCCTTAGGCTGCAAAAATATAAAAACCTCAAGTTAAATATGGAGGGTGTGTGTCATGCTTGTACCAAAATAAACAGACAGAAGTGATCAGTATTTTCTCAATTTTATTATTGAAATCTATTCCCGTGCCATCAGTTTTTGCTTCTTCAGCTTCTTCTGTGAGACCTAGGAAGAAAAAGGGAAAACACAATGATTTCTTGTAATAAAACTTGAGACATCTCCTTTTAGATACATTTAGTTGCTCAGCTTATAGTGTTTATTTTCATGGTTCATCCAAAGGTGTCCTAAGAAGTCATCATAGCAACTAGAATTATTAAATTTCTTTACAAATACACTTACCTTTTTCTTTTGGGCCACCTCCTCCTCTGGTTTGGGGACGATCTGCTCCTTCTCAGTGAGTATCATCTCAATGTGGCAGGGAGAGCTCATGTAAGGGTTGATGCGGCCATGGGCACGGTAGGTGCGTCTCCTCATCTTTGGGGCCTTGTTCACTTGAATGTGTTCAATGACCAAAGAATCCACATCCAGACCCTGCAGGAAAAGGGGTCACAAATGCCATACAATTTCATCATGTTCATGAACTATAAAAAGGTCAAGTATGAAGTCAAGTTTATATTTTATATTGTAAAAGCAGCTGCACCCGACAGTGCAAAGTGCTACTAGTTTTATTTGGAAGCAAAAGCATTGCTACATTGACAGATCCAAGTACCCATTTCCTCTTGTATGGAAAGTCAATAACAAAGCTGGGTTAAAAACGCTCAAATGAAATATAGTGTTATTTTCACTTAAAACACTCTCTGAACTTATGTACAGAAATTCTGGAGGTTTACATCAGAATGCTTACCTGTATATTGAGACATAAAATGTCACTAAAGAAGCAGTTAAAAGGCATTTGCCACTCTGGGTGTTATGACTGTACTTTACAAAATCATTGATATGAGCCACCTTTATAATAAAAATGAATCCAAAATAAGATGAATCTTGATTTGATAAATGTCCGAGTGACCCATGAACTATCTGCCCATGCAGACAGTATTTTTTAAAAGTCTGTCATTTTTTTGTTCCTCTGATTCTTACGCACTTGCAAGCAAACCAATGCAAGTGCGCCTTTGTAAGAGGAGTTATCAATCCTAATAACTGTGTGGCATTAACAAATTCAGTTACTAGCTGCCAGGGTGATTCAGCTGGCAACGTACGTCAGTGGCTAAATGGAATCACTTGTGCATGGCAAAATTGGGAAAAAAAAAAAAAAAAAACACCACAAAACACATACCTTGAGTTCAGCATTGCTCTCAGCGTTTTTAAGCATGTGAAGGAGAAACTCTGCACTCTTTTTAGGCCAACGTCCCTGGGTCCAACCAAACTGCTTGGCCTATTTATTTATATAAAAAAAAAAAAAGATTCAAAGTTTTGCACAAATGTTCAAAACTGTATCAAAATAGCTGCTCAGCCAACAAAGATTAGTTTCATCTTTAATCCAAAGGTGTCCTAAGATGGTCATCATAGCAGCATTCTAGTTATTCACAGTAAAATTTACACAGACCTACCTGAGCACACCTTCCTACACCACCATTGTAGCGACGGAATGGGACACACTGATGCTTAACAACCACATCACGCAAATATTTGTTGGCCTTGCGGATGTGCATGCCCTTGATGGCCTGAGCTGTCTCGCGAGTGTTCTGGGGACACAAGACTGAGTTACAAAAACCTGATAAGGCAAATGTAAAGCACAGGTTGTAAAGATCCAGTTTTGATTTATCATTCTATACCCAATTACAAGTTTTGTATATAGAAAATATCCAATTTAGACTTAATTTGCAGTTGTAATTATGTTCAAAGTTCACTTTTAACAACCAGGAGCATTAACATCGGAGACAATGAACTACATAACTCATACAAGTAGAAGTATTTCAGAACATATTTAACAAGGTCAACAATTAGAGTGACCAATGTTATGAGACATGGTATTTTGTTGTTTGAACAGGAAATGTTTGAGTATTGACAAATGCAAGCATTTAAATTGCAGTTCCAATGCATCTTACAGCTCTAGGCAAGAGGGACAGCAAGAGATTAAAACAACGCAATCATACCTTAAAATGAACCCGCAGATTGGAACCCCTCGCCTTGCAAGCTGAAATTGAAAGAAGCTATTAAAAAAGGTGCCTTTTAATACAATGTGTTGTTACTGCCAGTAGGGCATCTCAGTCCATTTACTGTATTTTCATCAGAGTTCTAAAGGTGTCCTAAGTAGTCATCACAGATACACAACATGATACATGATAAATTCATGTACATCTGTACTCACACTTTGTCGGGTTCTCGGGGTCAAGTGAGTAGCGGACCATTTTCAGATAGTCTGTTGAAGAGAGCAAAATTATGACACTGAACATTACACGCCAGGTCTAGCTAGGTTAGCATTTAGACGGCATTCACAAAAGCCCAAACAAATGCCGATGCAGTGTGGTTTTAAAGATTCTAGTTTTCAGCATCACATCGAGTCTAACGAAGTCAGGAGGCTCGCCACAACATACTATTTGTACGCGTATGCGAGTTTTAGATCAGGGAACAAGGCCGAGCTGAGGCGTTTGCACCAACCGGTTCCAGAGTCACTTTGTTACAGGCTGCGCCTTCCCATACAGCATTACTTAAACACATTTAAAGAATATTAAATTGTCTAATGCTTTACAAACATTAATTCACGCAGGATGGCGACAGTTTTACTAAGATTCAGCTGATAATGGTTTCTAGTGATACAGACTCGCTCCCATACCTCTGAGGCCGCAGAAGAAAGAGGAAGTTCCGCCGCAGCGCCACTGTTCTTCTGCTTCCTGTTGGAACTACTGCCTCCTGATGGAGAGGTGGACGCACTGCTTAAAAAGAGACCGTATAGTGCAATGTGTTACGTTGAACACTTGGTGGGAGTGTTTGTTATTGGTTAGGGGTTGGCTCCACAAACTTTCCGTATTAAAAACCTGCTCATGTTCCGAGGAGGCCGATAAGGGCCCTTGTACTTTTTCTTAATTGATAAATTTTTGTCCAGCTTTTGATAAAAGGGAACTATCAGTCCCATGGACATGTAAAACCACTTATTTTCAGTCAAATGCTCAATTATGAGAAGAATCTGGACCAGTTTGTACGCCAAACCCACAAAAAATAAAAAATAATAGGATTTTTAAATGGATTCCACCTGGACTTTTTTTTTTTTTTGGCCTATTTACAGGTCCCAAAATCTTATGTTTAGTGAGATATGATTCAACTTTGACATGGGAATTGTCAAAACCAAACTAAAGCTTAATTTGCTGTCTCTTAGACCATCCCCAGGGACACCAGCCATAAATATTTCTATATTTACCCCCAAAAATGTAGGCAGAATTTAAAATCTGACTTTCCTTTATGTAGAGCTTGGGCTCAGTTCAAATTAGAGTACAGAGAGGACAGAAGAGGACAGAACTACAGAGCTTCAGCTTCACAAAGAGTCCAGCCATTTGTTTGTGCTCCAGAGGGATCAGAAACAGATTCTGTTCGAACTGAGAGTCATCTTAGTCAGGCATTTAAGAAAAAATAGGCCTTTTGATCGTCTTTTGAAAAAAAATTGCAATTTAAAGTGCTCTCCCTATGAGTTCTTGAGTAGAATATTACTGTCAGGACATTGTTGCTGCAACTGGATGTCTGCTTTAGGTTACCATGGTGAGGAATTCTCTATTTTTCTTTACACCTCATTATTTTAATGGTCAAAATGTGCCTAAAGCAGGAAGCTGAAACCCATGAATATAACAGAGTATCTTATTTGATTAGGTTATATAAAGCTGTATAATAAATATCAAAATAAAAATACGGACAGTTTCATATTAAAGCCATTTATTTATTTTGGTATTATTTTGTGAGCTGTTAAAACCAGCAAACAATCGCAACACCCCTACACCCAGGTCATGCACACCATTGCACTGATAATATGTCAAAACTAGGATGATCACACCCTAGGCCAACATATGAAAATAAAAATATATTAATAGGAAGATAACCCTCCCCCTCTGTTCATATTTTTCAGTGAGGGAATAAACAAACCTGTCTGTCTCTTCATTCCAGTGACACATTTAATTTAAGTAACTACTGTACAGAAAACATGATTATTATTCTGTGGTTTGGTCAGAAACTGTTTCAGTACAAATTCCACTGACCACTCCTTGGCAGTTAGCCTTTACTGCATAGTCTTTTGTGGTACACCATACAGAGAGATAGAGTAAACAGACATGTTCAGAGTGGACACTATGTAGGTGTCTTGTAATGGTTTGAATTTATGAAACAGAAGTAACAAATGAGTGAGTCAAACAGCCCTGGTAATACAATCTGCCTTTGAATTGTGTGGAAGTAACCAGTATGATGTTTGTGCTGTTCCATAATCCTTCAATACAATGGATACAAGACAAAGGACAAATTGAAAATTATAGCGAATATGACAACATGCAAAGTCTGCTGTTCACATATTTTATTATTGTATAAATACTCAAATATTTAAGAGATGTGAGCACTTTTACATGTCCAGCATCAATGGAAATTACAGGTAGACTCAGGAGATTGGGAAATCCATGGAGCCACTGGTAGAGCACTGCTGTCATTTGGGACTGGGGCTGATCACTGCAGGAGTCGGAGGGTAGATCAGTGCTACATTCACACGCTCGGTGCCATTTGGACAGATGATCTCAGTGAGTCCCTCCGGCCGAGGCTGGCTAAGAAGTTCACCTGAAATACATACACAAGAAAAATAATTGAGGTGCAGTTCTCAAAAAGTGTCACTAGATGGCAGCTTTACTTTATAAACTACTTTGGCCTTTTCACTTAGAAAGTAGAGACCTGTATGTAGAACTATGTGTAAAATCATAATATGGTTTAGAATATTCCAACTTATATCAGACAAATATTGTTAAACTAAATTTATCAAATTTGATTGTCACACTAAGCCTTTAACTCAGTGAACAAAGTGCAGGAGCAGGAAACAACTGCTTTGTAGCCTTGAAACTAATTTGGTTCACAAGCGAGGGGATTTTCACTGTTGCTTGGATATTTGTAAGCCCACAGTGTGTAAATGAGTTTATTGGTTTTATATAAAGGCATAAAGACATCAGTGCAGCGGTGTGTACACATATACTGGACATACAATATCTTCTCCACATTCTAGGACACTTCCTGTTCAGTGCACACAAATCTGTCACAGGCTTTTCCTCCAGCACAAAACAGTCTGACCCAAAGTGAGAGCAGGAGGCTTTATTATATTGAGGATATAAAAATTGCTCTTTTTTTCTCTTGTGTAAAAAAAACCCAAAACAAAACCATAATAGGCTCTGTGCACAACAGCACACTAGCTAGCCCACTGTGCTCAAAGCTAACAGCCACTTTTATTAAAATCTGAGCCCCTGGCTTTCATCAATTTTCCAAAGTCAAAACCTGAATGGCCTCGGCCCTAAGAAACTACAAGCACAGAGCATCAATAGATCAGTATGTATTTAGTTGTATAACTGAATTAACTACTGTTAAAACCACTTTCCTAAGACTGTTTATGCAATACAACAATGGCCCATGTCAGCCTCCACTGATCTAGATTTATAATCAGCTTTAGACATCAACTGACCCCTTTCTGTTGCCCAGATCTTTATCTGCTACAGTTTTTTTTACATCTATATATGCTTTCCACAATCCAAGGCACAGCTTAGTGTGTGCATTATCTCTAATGCAACAACATATTTTACAGGAAAGCTAGACAAAAACTCTGTAGAAAATTGGATAACGGTTCAATATAGAAACACAGGCGTATTTTATCTCTTATGGTATGTCACCCCTATATTCACTATAAGTAAAGAAAAACTACCCACATATCAATATAAATGTGAGAGTGTTTTTTAAACATATTTTACAATTGTCTTAAAATTGTTCATCAAGTGTGCCGTTTTCTTGGCACCTCTGCCATTACAGTGTTAGCAGCACTTAAACCATTAGGCATATTGATTTTGTTCTACTCTTTCACTTTAAGGCTGTTTGGATACAGTCCAGACAAAGACTCTTTCAGAGCAGCCCACTTACTCAACAGCCCAAACAGCTTTTGGTTTTTGTCATTTTCATTGGGAAAATAAGATTTTCATTCCTGGAAGAGGATGAGTAGTCATGCAGTCACTGAAATAGGTCAAAGCTAATAATTCCTCCTCCTGAACCCCATGTTGAAAGAGTCACAAAAACATAATCTGAGGACACAGGGGGAGGAGTGGGAGCAGGAATGTGCAGCTCTCTTGTCAGCCGTTCATATTTAAACTTCAGCAGCAGGTACAAGAATCATTTACATTCCTCTGAGTTTGGCCTGTTTCCCTGGAAGTCTTTCTATTTCTGCCCTCAGAGCTATGAAAAACAACATCCTTAGATTTTCTGTAAAGGAATGTGCATCCTCTTATTCAATAAAAATGCACTTTTCCTGTCTCTGAAAACTCCCTGCAGGGTGGAGGATGTTTGTTAAGAAATGTAGGAAAACTGAGCTGTTGAAAGTCCATTCAGACAGTGTTGGACGGTGATCTTTTTCCTCCACACTCAAGCAAGTGTTCCAGGATCTGTGGAGGTAGTAAAGTGTATACCATAACACGAAAGAGAACATTTGCAATGACAAATTGAAGATATAACTAAAGCTACTTAAAATACTTCATAATCTTGACATTTTACCCTATTAATGCTACTAGACATATTTTATATGTCTAATAGCATACATACATACATACATACATATACACACACCACACACACACAATATACTATATATTGTATATAGTATATAGTCTATACTATATAGTCTGCCTCCATTATATTTTATACTACTACTACTACTAATGATGATGATTCTTATTAGTAGTAGTAGTAGTAGTAGTAGTAGTAGTAGTAGTAGTAGTAGTAGTAGTAGTAGTAGTAGTAGTAGTAGTAGTAGTAGTAGTAGTAGTAGTAGTAGTAGTAGTGTTGAGACTGTAAACTGAAGCATTATAATTATGGCTCAGCAATATGGCAAAATAATTCATCACAATTTTATTTTGAATAATATTTATTTATTCAAATGATAAATAAATGTCTTCAAAATGTTTCATTTAACAAAGCTGAAACTACCACTACATCCCTCTGGGGTCAGACTACCCTGGGCTAGTCAAGAATACTTCCTCATATTCTATACAGCGAAATACAGTCTGGTGTAGCGTCATACAGCAGACCACATTTTATGTCATGCTACTGGATTCACCAGTCAAAAAGAATACTCTCATCATATTGCTCAAATGGCTGCGCCTGACAATCACACCTCAAAATTACACAAAGCAGTAGTAGATTGAATTTCTCTGGGGACTACTTCGGGAAAGTCCTTCTGGTTGGCCAGGTTATGGTGAGATGCCACTATAAAGAGACTGTGAATATCAGTGTGGTACTTTTCTGATCAATAGCCATGTTTATAAGATGTCATTATAATGACATTTATTACTTAAAAACCAACAGGGCACTGCCCGTCACATTGAGACACATACACAATGCACGTCATGGTCCCATTCGATCTATTGTGGCAGGATGCATTGTTGTTGATATATAATTATTACAGTGCACAATTGATTTGTATATGCAACTTGAAATTCAGCTGTGCTGTGGTCAAATTTGGAAATACAACATTAATCACAAAGCCATGAGGGAGGCTATAGTGCTACTGTGCTAACAATCAAAAGTCTTGGTCAGCACAATATAAGCTGCTGCAGAGCTCAGCGAGAGATGGACCAGAGTCACATGCACACCAGGTGTAAACATGCACAGTCTCCATCACATGTCTAAGGTAATTCTGCAGCTTACCACCAGTGATGTAACAGGATTGCCATTCTGTACTATAGGATTACAGTCTGCACTATCAACATGGTCCAAGGTATCACAGGAATTTTCAGTATACGTTCTAATAGTGAATTTAATATATAAACATTTTAATGATTTTAAAGTAAATATAGGGATGGTCTGAAAGGGTTCACACTATCTAGAAACTGCACGTATGATATTTTCCAGTGGTAGCCACAATATATCCTTATCTCAAAGAAGATGTCTCAGTCTGAAACGTGACTGGACAGAAAACATGATTTAGGAAACAAAGGTTGACAAGGCTAACATGGGCATCCGGGCATGTTGTAACAAGCTGCTCACTTGTGACGCAGACATGCATATAGATGGGTTTTAAGAATATCTAGTTTATTTCATTAAAATCCTCTCCTGTCAGAACTTTTTACTTACATTTTAAAATACATTTTATTAAAAAAAACAAAAAACTGTTTTGTAACTGCTAATAGGCATGGGTGATATTGATATTTTTCTTGCATTTTCCATCATTCCATTTAAATATATTGCTATTCCGCGACATATGGTATTTTATTTCATTTAGTTTAAAATACCGAATCTCATTTCAACAGAGTGAGAATAAGTTTAATGGCAGCTTTGGTTTGTGTTGAAATAAATGCAGACTTAATGTTGCTCACCTCAAAAATGCAATGCAGCCGCCAGCATGCCCTGAAATTAATTACAAACATGTGACTCTGCTATGTTGCTGACATTACGACAGTGTCTCAAAGAAAGACACAAGGACCACAGCAGACAAGTCAGCTGTTTGACGACTCCACACAATGCTTCAGTTTTCAGTAAAATAACTATGCAGCCTTTTACATATCTTACAAAGTAAAATGGCTCTGGTATTTCTGTTGGTTGACTTGACCTGAGAAAATAAAGCTACAAATAAATAGATTAGTTCAAATATGATACCAATTAAAAGGAAAAAAGGTCCTGCTAGTACTGTGAGGTATTTTAAATTAAATGTATTACCAGCTGCAACATGTTAACACTGCTGAATACTACGCATATCACAGATTAACAAAATATAACTGGAGGTAGTATGAAGGTAGTACAGAACAATAGGCATATGCCGGTGGCAGTAAAAACGGGGTTGATTGGCAAAATGACATCTTGAAAATAAGTGATTAAAGATTGCTCAAACATGCACAAATCACTCGACATTCAACTTCGGGTGAGTAAATGGTGGGGGAAACAACTATAACATGGTTGAAAGTTCTGAAAAATCGATTTTGCATAATAATATTCGGTTTTGCAGTCACTGAGTAAAAAAAAAAACAAAAACAAAAAAACACTATAGGCATTCAATGAATGAGACATCATCAAAGGATCATTTAAAAGAAACATGACAAACTGTTGGTTCCATGTTTGTCAAGATATAGACATAACATATAGACAAACAGCATCTAAATAAGAGATAAGCATAGCATGGAGAGAATTAACACAGATTTACACTTGAGTCAGAGTACGATTGTACACCGGTTGCCAAATTATTGTGCAAGTAACTGACAAATAGGTTCTGCTGCCTTTGCCTACAAACTTATTTGGCCAAATCCCCACTAGTCTGGTAACAGGGCATTAAAGGAGTCATTGTAGACAGCAACTTCAACAGCAACTACCAGTAGTGAAAGTGCTTTTCACTTGAGTACACATACAACAGAAAAGGCCAAATCTACAATACGGTAATTTAGTGGCAGCCACAGGCACAGTGGTCCCAAAGCAGTGGTTCTGACGTAAGGTTCTGTCTGCCTGTACAACACAGGTGGAAAGCCTAACACAGACTCTGGTTTCCTAGTCATCCCTGCTGTAAACTGTAACTGTCTATGAGGGAACTTTGATCTTTTTGCCAAGGATACCACTTCATTAGTGTTCTAATCATGTATTCCGTATCACGCTTTCCCAGTGTTTCTCTAGTCTAGATAATAGGGATCATAAAGGCCCATATAATAAAATCTGTGTATGAACTGACTGTACAGGACTTCTGAAAATCTGATTAAAATGAATAAAATTCATCCAATTTATTTATTCAAAAAGGACTGTGCGTGTAAGTGCACATATGCTCTATTGTCTCCAATGGCCAATTCGTTTCCGTCTAATGTCCCACAAATGTATATGTATATGTATGTATATGTGTATATATATGTGTATATATATGTGTTATATATATGTGTGTGTGTATGTATATATATATATATATATATATATATATATATATATATATATATATATATATATATATATATATATATATATATATGTGTGTGTGTGTGTGTATGTATATATATATATATATATAATATACACACATATACATACACACAACAATATTGTTGCTTTACACCAGAGAACTCAACACAGTAACTTGGATAGCTACCGCCCTATTCCAATCAGATCTCCTAAGCTGAATCAGTACAATGTGTTTATGTGTATGCTACTATATGTATCTAATCAAATATTTATTTAAATTGACTACCTACCTTTATGCATTACAATTGATAATGGTTCATGAGTTCATAGTCACCAATAAATGCTTGTCTTGCATGCAACAACCAAAAGAAGTAGCTCTTTTCAATTTTCATTTCATAAACATTGGAAGTACATCAAAAACATCTCCGTAAAGTCGATATTTAAAAAGAACAAATACATTCCTTTAAAGTCTTTTTCCTCATCCAACGACAGTGTGTTTATTCTGGAGCCTAAACTCTGCATCAGCCCTGAGCAGCTAAACATTTCATGTCCATAAAAGGCCTGGCACTGGAGAAACTGCGTCCTGGTTCACAACCATAAAAAAGCAAGGGAAGGGGTCTTAGTACAGAGAAATACATCATGTTGTGTAGCCTATGTCTTAATGGTCTGAAAGGGCAAAATAGTGTAATTTGTTGAGCACTGGTACAGATGAGTCAGGCCCTTAAACACCTTCTTTTTGAGTTAACACTTATTTCCTGTTTAAATCTCCATCTATTAAATAATTACTTAATTTTCACTTCTCTATACTTCACCTAACCAACACAAAAACACAAGGACCATTGAGCTATTTCATTTGGTCCACTGACACAGTTTTTACAGCTCCCAAGACAATTCTGCAAAGCACTTCCTGCTTCGGTTCAATGGCCAAACAGAAAATGAACTTTCCATGGGATTCTTTGCAGTAATCAGCCCAGAAAAAAAACATCCTACAAACATCCACAGAAAGTAGAAACCACCACCGCTATTTTAGACCCTCATCCTGTATATATTTCAATTCTATATTAGCAACCATTTCTAAATACACTTACACAATTCAGTTGTGTGACACAGATAAGAGGAAAGTTTTGGTCTGCCTTTCAGTACAATTAATTTTTCAACAACTGTTTTTTGGTCAGTTATATAACTATGAAAAGGCCATAGCAACGTGTTGAACACAAGCTCTATTCAAGAACAATGAACAGACTAATCAGGGCATGCTTCACTTAATGGCCTTATGAAAGATTACTAACGCTGTCAAAGGCCCCACTCATTGTGCTAGAATTGTGCATTCAGAGAGTGAAATAATCAGTTGTTCACTGCTGAATCTTAAGAGACAAATCAGATATGCTTTTGTGACTATGTATTTTATATTGTGCATAGTGTGACAGAAGCAGGTACTGCTGCTATGGCATCATTATCTTTTAGCAGCTCTATTTAGGCCATAAGTGTGGAGTCAGTACAGTGCTACTGCTGATGTTTGGCTAATTCATCCTCTATGTTTTAGGGCATGGAATTAATATGGTTTTAACTGTGGTAAAGATGTAGGCTTACTTCTACAAACATAATACATTCAACAAAAATAATTGCAGTAGCATGTAGAACCTAATTTAAATACTCAAATTGGACTTATTACCTGGAAAGGCATGTGGGCTGGATGACCCCCTCTTGAGGCACTTTGAACACAGGATATGCACAGAGTAGTGGAGCGCAGGCCACTCTTGAAGCAGAATGTTCAGCTCTTCCACCAGTGGCATGATGGCTTGCCACGCAGTCCAAATGTTAGGCAAGGAAGCATGGCTGACTATGGACAATGTCTCTGTCATTTTTCCTTTTGGTGGATGGTGGCTTATTAACACAGGGACTTTACCACGATAAGCACAGATTTGATGTCTTCCATCTGACCTTTGGACGACATGGCTATTTATCTGCACACTGAAGCGATCAAAGAGTCCTGGAGGAAAGAAAACAGGGAAGCAGTACTGAATGTTCAGCTGCTCCACTGAGAAGAACTGGCAGAAGGAGCCTCCACTGGCTGCGCCCTCTGTGCTGCTGGAGGACTCACTGTTGACGTAGCTGGGAAACCTGTACCACACTGTGGCTCCATTCAGAGGCTTGCTCCGAGTTTTGTTGATGCAGTAGCAGATTCCCATCTTCTCCAGGAGCTGCATGATGAGGTGAAGGTCCTGCTGGGTCTGAATGAGTGGTCTGAGAAGCAGGCGGATTACGTTAGAGGGCAGAAGGCCATTTTGAAGAAACCCCTCCACAAAATGCTGCAGATGTGTAACCCTGAGACTTTCTCCTTTCTCATCCTCAATGACCAGGCTAACCCTTCCTTTGTCCCCCCTCTCACCCTCAGACAGAAGTCTGTCCAAGAGAGTGGATTCCTCTCTCTGGAAAAACACATTTAAAATTGCTATAAATCTTGGAAGATTGTGAAAAACATATTCTTTGAGAGTAGGACTGTCCTCAAAATACAACATTTTCCCACTCTCATGTAGGTAGGACAAAGCGCTCTGTAGGCGGTCCTCTGTTAGTCCTGCCTGGAGGCCCAGACGTGCAGAGTCCCACCAGGAAAGCCACAGATCTTTGGGTTTAAAGTGCAGTTCTTCTAGCATCTGCCAGGACTTGGGCAGCACGCGGTGGAGATTGGGGAAAATATCTCTGTGGTCAGCAACAGACATGAGCTTGTCCCTTAGCCTCTGGATGTTGGTCTGTGCACAGGTACAGCTAACAGTCAGAACAGGGGAGAGGATCTGCAGTCTGTGGTTTAGCATGTACTGTAGCTGGGATTTCCTGCGCTGCAAGTTCCTATCTGACACACCATAAAAAGGGATATGAGGGCTAAAAGAGCGGGCATTAAAGCCCTGTTCCAAAGCCAGGTCCACTTGCTGAATGAGGCCTCTCAGAGACTCTATGTCAGCCTGCTCCTGGAGGCCGATCTGTCTGTGAATGTCCAGGCTTTTCTCCTCCACTTCCATTTGTCCGCACACGTCTGTGTGTGTGCCCACTATACACACCACGGCATGAGGAACTTTGGCACAGAGGAGGTGAAGAAAATACCCAACATGGGCATAAAAGTTCTTGGGCATATACATTTTGAGATTTACTACAAGAACATACAGAGCACCAGGGGACAGAAAAAAGGACTTTATGAGGTCATAATTTTGCTTCCCTGACAAATCATACACTAAAAATGTAAGACACCTGTCTATATCTGCTACCCAGTTTGTGACTTCAATTCCTTTGTTTCCATGGAAATGTGTCACATTTTGTGACTTGAAAACTAAACTCTGCCCGAGTAAAGTTTTACCAGAGTTCTTCATCCCCATTAAAACCAGTTTAAGTCTTGGCTTCACAGCAAGCTGGGATTGTGCAAGTTCTTTTTGATAAGCAGCTATGTATGGTATTCCTTTCATACACACCTCATAAGGAGGCTGAATAAGAGGGTTATCCTTGACTTTCCAAATGTTCACTTGGGATAGCTTTCCAAAATTATCTGGGAGTATGGCTATTTGATTACCCTGTATAACAAGCTCTTCCAATTTTGACAGTTTTACAATGGAGTCTGGCAGATATGTTATGCTGTTATTGTCCAACCACAGATTGGCCAAGTTCACAAGTCGCCCTAAATCTTCTGGAATGCAAGTCAGTTTATTTCTGCTCAGGTAAAGTTCCTCTAATCCTCTGATACTTAAAATTACCTCAGGAAAGTTTTCAAAGTGGTTTGAGGAGAGATTAAGCATTTTCAGTCTTTGCAAATTGGTGAAGGCAGGAGGCAACACTTGTAGGTGGTTACTGTCCAGCATTAAGCTCTCAATCTTGTGCAGTTGACAGAAAGTGTCTGGTAATGTGTTGATACGAAGGCAACTGAGCCATAAGATTTTTGTGGACTTTAGTTTTACAAGATCTGTTGGTAATTTCTCAAATTTATTCCCTGACAAGTCTAGCTCCTCTAACTCCCAGAGACCAAGGATCTCAGTAGGGAATTGATTTAGCTTGTTGTGATCAGCATCCAGCGTTCTCAGCTTAGTGAGGTTAGAGAAGGATTTGGGTAGATCCCGTAGCTCATTAAAGCTGATGTCGAGCTCTTCCAAAAACTTAAGCATACCAATTTGAGAGGGTAAAAATTGTATTTTGTTATGACTGACACAGAGCTTTTTCAGTCCCTTTAACTTCCCCAGATCCTCAGAGAGACATTTTAGACAGTTGTGGCTCATGTCCAGTTCAAGTAACTGCCCTAGCTCAAAGATGACGCCGGGAATAACCGTGAACCTATTTCTCCTGAGAACAAGAACACGGAGATTGTTCAGACTGGATCCCAGGCCCTCGGGCAGTTCCTGTAGGAAATTATTACCGATATTGAGCACCTCTATTTCGGCAATATCATCTGGCAGTATAATCTCCTGGTTGTTTTTGGAGGACAGGGTGAGCTGTCGCAGGTTACTCCGCAGTTTCCTGGATCTGAGGGCTGCATCCCTCCATATCCTGGCCGTCTTTAGGTTATTCTCCTTATCCTCCATGGCGTTGCAGCCAGGCGTTTCCTCCTTGTTTTCATTTACGGTCCTCATCGATATTGCGCGTGTAGCATGATGATCCAACAGCAACAATCTTTACGGCACGGGAAAACGACAGTGCTAGCCGCCAGATAGTCAAACATCTTCAATGATAATAACGCTGGCCTTGGCCACAGCGTTGCTCCGTGCATCCTCTGCTCCTGCGCCATTCACCACACAATGAAAACAAACCAACCGTGATTATAGCGCACGCTGTAATCCCCGACGACTGGAGTGTAGCACTGGGCTCGCTGTCCGTTTCATAATGGCCCCGGTAACCTTCTATAGTTCATCTCTCTGGGTCACTGGCTGTATGGCTTTTGTCTATGCAGTGTCTCGGTTGTTTTCGGCATCTAGGAATGAAGTGAAGCGTTGGAGTAGGAGCAGTGACACCCTCCCTGCACACTGCGTCAGTTGGGCCCACCTTCCAGTATTTCCTTCTCCTTCCTGCTCAGTCACCAGTTCCACCACAGGGGGGCAAGGGAAAGTGACTGCCCGCACATGGTCAGACTGCGCAGTGTCCGCATAGATCCATGGTTGAGTAAATTACTTAACTATAACACTGTCAGTATTATTAATACTAATACTACAATAATATATTAATACTATAAATTAAGTCTTATGGTTAACAGTATATTAAAATCTAATAATCGATTAGATTTGATTGCACAGAAGCCCTAAATTCACTCTAGGGTTTCGGAAATAACATTTGTGCCAATATAATGACTCGTTGTGAGCGTTGGGTCACCTCTGCGGTCACCACATAGGATTCGTGGGGAAAAAATCGCTATAATCCAAAACAACACTATTGGATTCTATGTTAACCAAAAAGAGGACTCTTGCGCCATCTTAAGGGCGCTTTTGTATACGGAGAATAGATTGGAAATTTGTGAGTCATACACATCCATTGAGCTGGCTTGTATTTTATTTGTCCATTATTGAGCTAAAACAATTTTATTACGTTTAACTTGCGAGGACATTTTATTTTCGTAGAGCGAATACATTAATACACAGGAGTAGGACTGGACAATATGAAAAAAGAATGTTAATTGAAAACTGAATAAAATTGTGGTACAATGATTAAACAGATCTAGTAGCAACACTGTGATATCTCGGTGACCAAAAACTGTATGCCCCTAATAATCATTATAAAGAATGTTAATGTCATTTTTAACAACCATACAAGCCATATTCTATATTCTATATAACTCATTTAGACTATACCCTTTTCAAATACCATGAGCCCATTTCACCAGTTACATGTCTCTTCTATTGAAACAAAAATATTTGAGCATTTGACCTTAAACATTAATACTGCATTGCATAAGTAAACAAGAGGTGCCTGGACAGCAAACAAAACTCAGGGAGGTGGGTGAAGGACAGGGTCAAAATCTCAGTGAACCACGCTTAGTTGCTTACAAAAGGTTTGCATTAAAATGTCTTTTACAAGTCTGAACTGAGTAACATGATATGTTTTCATGTCTGTAAGACTCTTTAGACAGTGAGCTATTGCTTCACAAACAATTTAGTTTTTTTGCATCTGATTAAATTTATTCTTAAATTACAGGTCAGTGTAACTTACCAGTGAAATAAATCCAATTTCCCAACACAGTGCAATGCATAAACACAAAATGCAACATTTAACTTAAATATAAGTAATACTTTACCCATATTGCTATCCAGTGCTACCGTGAAACACTGTTAAAACACACTTTATTTAAACTGATAATTCACCTATTTTTTTCTTGAATAAAAGGTGGAAACTATATTTAGTAACTCTTTAGTTCTCACAAATGTGACATACAGCGCATGGCTACTTTTCGATAAACCACAATTAAAATCATTCAATAACTAGAATAAAAATTACATCATGACACAGAATGTGACAATATCCAATGTGCATCTATATTACATGTGCCTTTATGGAAAAAGAGTGTATCCCAAAAGCTTTCCCTTGCATTGAATAGTAGCAGCACATAATAAAAAAGTATTGCACAGAAACACAAAGGTACTGTGTGCAAACAACAATGTATCTTTTGACAGTCATTTTAACAAGGTATTGTTCCATTTTCAAAAAATTGAAACATGGTAATGCTTCATAGGGAAAAAAAAATTAAATGTCACATCTCATTGTAAAAGAGTATTTAGTAGTATGGGCCAATGTTTTCATAATTTGCATAACTTGGCCAATCAGGAAAAATTCCATGGGAGCAAGTAGGGCTCCCATAGCGGTCAAAATGGATCCCAAACCCTAAAGATTCATTATGGCAACTGTCCTCATCTCGTTTCTTCATTGAAGACCAAAGGATACGATAGTTCTTCCCCTCATTACTGTCCCAATACTTACAGCCTGCCACTTCATAGCTTATGGCAAATTCAATGCGTTCATGCAGCCTCAAATTGTCAGGAATAGAAACCTCAAAAGAGAAAGTGTCACTGTAGGAACTTGGATATGTGTCTTTTATGTACTTGCATCCAATATCTGCATGGCTTTTCCATGTGTCAAAGGTCACCCTCACATTCACAGACTTCTCAAAAGACACATTTTTCACTTTAATTGTTCCAGCCAGAACCTTTTCTTTTAACACGCAATGCTCCAGACACACATAGTTATTCTCCAGGCACTGGCGAAAGTGCAAGTAATCTGATGAAGGCTGTGGAAAGTCCAGCACCAACTGGTCCTCTTCAGTAGCTTGTGTGATGGCAGCATTCAACATCTCTTGCACACTTGCAGGAATGTCAATCTGATCATTAAACTCAGAGAATATCTTTACCCTGGTTAAGGAGAGTCCTTTGTGATCTGCAAATGTCACCTGTTTTTTGGTTTTTCTTGTGGTTTCATTGATTGAATTGTCATTGGCTTCAATCTGGTCAATGCAGTGCGAGTGTTCAAACGTCAGGCATGAGTTTTGATCTGGCTGGTAGTTTTTGGAGGTTGTCCTGTAGCCAAACTCCTCTTGGGACAGGTAAAGGGGCAGTGCCATGTCAATTGGCATTGTCAACTTCGGGGGAAACATGCACAGCAAACTAAAAGAGAAAATACAAACTTAAGTTTAAAAACAAATTTGGCCTACTTATAGGGCCTGTTGTTCATTTAGGCTTTAGGACATTTTATAGCATGTCCGAAGGAAACGCATATAGTTACGGCAAGCCAAAAACATTCACATTTACGCCTATTTTTAACATGTTAACACTTTATTTGATGCATATTATAAGTGTCTAATAAGAATTTAACGCATCAAATAAGCTTATCATACACATCAAATTATTGTTATCTGACATCCGTATGTCCGTATGATAATGATCTACTCCCACTGATTTTCCTGGTCAATGACTTTAAAGTGCTTTCAGCCAATAACTGACCAAGACATAGAGTCCAGAACAGTCCAACACCGATCTTCCTGTACACATTTATGTTTCTCTCCCATAGAGCCATTCTTACAATAAAGCCTTGACTACAACTTATTAATGTGCACTCCTGGTTTTACAAAGGCTCCTTTAGTAATGATTGTTATTAGTGGTACATGGAAAGGACCATATTTGCACTGTCTCACTGCAATGGAGTGTCTCACTGCAATGGAGTCTATTGAAATTCCCATTGTCCCACTACCATTTGCCTGATCTGTGATGACCTATCTACAGCAGCAAGGAGAACTCCAGGGGTGAACATGTGATACAGTAATGTGGCCTTCCAATGAAAATCCGTGGAAAAAATGTGCTCCTAACATAGGCAACCTTGATGTAATTTGCTCAATTGTGACATCCTTTATACATAAACAGGTTAATTCAAATCTAAAAGCTCAACATGTAAAATAATCACTATCCAGTCCTCGTTTCATTGTGCCATCTAGTGGGAAAAAATGCTTTAGCATAAAAATAAGCAACCGCCGCTGAGTTCGTGTATCGTTTAATGTTCTCATTTGATAATTATATCAGTTGTGTAATGACCGACATACTGACAAGATAAATACGTAAATTTGATAGATGACAATTTACTCAGTGTAAAGAGTACAGAACGTGCACAGAGAGATCGGTGTTGGACTGTTCTGGACTCTATGTCTTGGTCAGTGATTGGCTGAAAGCCCTTTAAATTAATTGACTGGGAAAATCAGTGTGGGGGGGGATCATTATCATATGGACATTTGACGAAATTAGAATTTAAAGCGTCAAATAAGCTTATAATACGTGTCAAATAAAGTGTTAACGCGTTAAAAATAGACGTAAATGCGAACAGTTTGGCTTACCATACATAGAAAGTTCAAAAAACGTGCACCATCCAAGTTTTAGGTGTGAGTTTCAAGGCTGAATAAAAGGTGTGCGGTTCTGTTAAATCTCTACTAAAAGCATCTATTTGTGGCACTAGCACTTCGCGGCCCATCGTGAAAAAAAAGTTTGGACACTCTTGGTTGCTCCTTTTGTCGAATTGAATGCGGAAGATCTAACGCGCAAGCTTCCAAGTATAATCTAAAGTTTGGGAAATTAATTGAACACCATTATAGCAAGGTAGCGAGATATTTTCGATTTGTTAGTTCAACTATATGCAGATTACGTTACCTTGATCGGTTCCGGTTAACAAGGGGTAGCTTTGCCTTTTGATGAATGGGGTTTGCAGGTTAGCTTGCAATCATTTTAGCTTAAAGTTGCATGTAACTCCTCTTTGTTTAGGATTCATAAGCACCCTTAAGCCACCTGTACACTGCCAATTGTAAACGAGAACAGTCTTTGCAAGCACTTGTACTGTGTTTTTTTTTTTTTTGTTTTTTTTTTCTTTGGCCGCTTGAAGCGCCACACCGGGTTCACGTGGACACTCGTGCGCAACCAATCAGAGCGATGTTTGATGGAGTGATCGCTGCTCTCCAAATGTGCTCTCCTGAACCAGGGCATGCAGAGATCGACAGATATAGAGGTGACTGGCACCGGAGGTGGTCAAAGTACTGCATTTCATTACTTGAGTAAAAGCTACAGATACACCTGGTTAAAGATTACTCTATTACAGGGGTGTCCAAACTATGTCCAATTTTATTGGCCCTTTTGTTGAAATGGCGCAATTGAAATGTAAGCAATTCTACCGCTATAACCTCAATAACATCACATTGCATTGTGATACAGACCTAATATTAATTTCAAGCCATGGCGGTTTTGTCAAAATGATGTAAAATGCACTCATCGGAATGATCCACTGTACTGACAACCTGTCTTTGTCCAGTGCAGGGAGGGGCCCTTTACAAATCCTGAAATGGGCATTTTTTCATTAGACACGTAGTGCAGGCCCACCAAGATGATTTGTACCCAAGATGCACCTCTGTGCACAGGCCAGTCTGGCCTCTTGGTGCATTGCACAGTCAAATCAGTTATGTGGGTAACAAGTCATGACATCATCCCTATCAGTATTTCTTGTCCCATTTATTTTGCCGTTAGATAGATTGGAATATTATCTGTTTGTTTTGACATCAGTCTCACAGTTATGATCACAGCCCTTATTTACTCTAACAGTTGTTGGAACTTTGGAGTTAAAAAAAAATACTTTAAAGAGTATATGTCAGGTTAGACTACTAACATAGTTAACATGGTTACATTTAAGATTTTCCAAATTGCTTGTTTAGTGTTTTCTTGTTTTGTGATTTGGTGAAGTTTAACATTTTATTTTAAATCAGAAATCATACTGGCAAGCAAATATGACATAACCAGAGTTACCTAGCAACTATAATTATAGTGAGCACCAAAACTTTTCTAAATTTTCTAAAATAGTTATGATTTGCCAAACAACAATCCCCTAATGACAACACTGTTAAGCTGTCAGAAAAAAATCTTCCCTGTGCATACATTGTCTGCCTTTTGTGTGGAATTGACCGTTAGGGATTTCAGTTCAGAACTCACAGCTACAGCTATGTCTTGCATTTTTCAACTTTTTGTTTAGTAAATTTCTTCACAAACTGGTACTTGACTGATGTAAAATTATGATTAATATTTACCTCAGGTAATATCCCTCCAAACTAAATAATAATTATAAAAAAAATACGTAAATCTGTCATATGCACTCCTGACGAAATCGTACGCTGAAAACTCCCTCACAAAAATAACATGTTGCCTATACTTTGAAGCCGCTTGAGGCATGTGGCTAGAAAGTAATAGGCTATAATTTGTATTTTAAATGCGGTGAAGACAAAGTATTAATTACCCAACAAAATAAAGTATATATAGGCCTGATCACCTCTGACTTGAACAGAGCAAATCATCAGTAGATCAGAAACTTTTAAGTGCAGTACAAATAGATCTTAAGCCTGCAGACTTTAAAAGTATACATTATAGAGAATACTAAAACTTTGGTTCCTGCCCCAGGTGTTGGGTGTCCCATAAATAAATCTTTCACCCAAGCTTGGTTATAAACATGGTTTAAACCTCTGAATTTTATAATGAGGGATCACTGAAATATGTTCATTGTTCATTGTTCAGTTTATGTTTTAAACCAGATTAGTTAGGCTATTGTCTGTGCTTTGGACATACACTGTAATTTTTGTTGTAATTTGAAGTTGTTTCATTCTATAACTGCCTGCAGTAGGCTTATTTATTTTTTATTATTTACAGTTAGATAGCCACCTCCTCTTACTTCATAATTGTCTCATAACTGATCACATTTGTTTTAGACCAGCCTGGTCTGGTCTGGTTGTGCACAGCCAATAAGTTGTGCCTGCAAAGTTTGAATATTCAGTGTTTTGCCCTCATTTTATCAACAAGTTAGCGTCAGCTCAAATTTAAAGCACCTTTCCAACTGGCTGTGGCTTGGTTGATTTGGGGTTAAAGCCGCAATGAAAAAGTCCAAGAGGACTAGGTTAATTACACATTTCCTGATAAGATCTGCCCCTGGGACTATATATGCTCAAAACAAACTGGCTCGTGTTAAATGTTACAGCAAGACTGAGTGAAACATTAATAACAAAAATCAATCTGGCATGCACATTTTGTCATGTTTTGGGGGGCACAGCTTCTTTTGGAACATTTTGAAATAGGCAATAGGTCTCTTTGGAAAAAATATTATAAAAAGGACGCTTAGTATGTTACGTATACTAATAATTAATCAACAATAATATTACAATTTATTTTCATAGCCCAGTTGACCATTTGGTGTGGCTTTAATGTTACATTTTTTTATTTAGATAATTGTCGTCCACACACGCACTGTCCGCTCTTACCCCAATAACAAGCCGTAGATCACCAGGCAGCTGAAGGATCTACTTAATAAGAAAAAGCAGGCCTTCAACTTTGGTGACAAGGATGAGGTGAAGAGGGTACAATTGCAGCTTCTAGAGTTTGCCTACCAGTGCCATTTAGCTATGGAAGATGCAATAATCTATCTTCTGTAGCAGGCTCACTCACACCTGGAAGGTGTTGCGGGCTCTATGAGGATATTGTTTTTCGATTTCTCCAGTGCCTTTAATACAATCCAGCCCTTTCTGATGAGTGAGAAGCTGCTCAGGATGGGTGTCAGCTTCTCCATTGTCTCTTGGATTACTGAATACCTGTCAGGCAACTGGGGAGCACCCTGTCTGATACTGTGGTCAGTAATGTAGGAGTCCCCCAGAGCACAGTTCTATTTCTGTTGCCTTTTTATTCTGTACACCTCTGATTTCCAGTACAACTCCGAGTCCGGCCTCCTGCAGAGGTTTTCTGATGACTTTGCAGTGATTGGGTGTATCAAAGATGGACAGGAGCTGGAGTATAGGGCACTGATTGTAAATTTTGTGGAGTGGTCCCAGGCAAACCATCAGCTCCTGAACGCTGACAAGACCAAGGAAATGGTGATTGACTTCAGGAGGAAGAGGACACCAGTGGAACCTGTCACCATCCAGGGCCATGATGTGGAAATAGTGGACTGCTACAAGTACCTTGGTGTCCAGGTGAATAACAGGCTGGACTGGAGGGACACCTGTAATGCTGTGTACAAGGAGGGCATGAGTAGACTCTACTTCCTAAGAAAGTTCAGGTCTTTCATTGTATGCAGCAAGTTACTGGAGATCTTTTACCAGTTTGTGGTGGCCAGCGCCCTGTACTTCGCTGTGGTCTGCTGGGGGAGCAGCACCAGTAAAAGGGACACTGGCAGATTGACAAACTGATCCGTAAAGCTAGTCATGTGATCGCTATGAGCTGGAGACATTTGTCACAGTGAGGGACAGGAGGACACTGGACAAACTGCTCTCCATCATGGACACTCATGCTCACCCACTGCACCAGACTATAGAGGCACAGAGGAGCTCATTCAAACAGGCATCTAGAGCTTTACTCAAACAGTGAAAGATACAGGACTACATTCATACTATACACCGTAGAACTGTACAACAACTCACCCTTATGTAACAGATAATACTCCCTACAACTGTATAACAACTTGTCCCTATATAATGGACAATCTAAGTCCTGATAATCATCATATCATTGTTGCACTGTCTTTCTATGACCTCTTGTATAAAGCTGTTATTTTTATATTTTATTACTTGTCTTGCTATTTTATTTTTGATTTTATATTTTATTTTATTACTTATCTTTTTATTTTTATTACTTATCTTTCTATTTTATTTTTACTTGTACATTTACATTTATATAATTATGTCTTATGTGACACCCGTCTCTTGCTTACGGTGGTGTATTGCTATACACCACCGTATAATACACCACCGTAAATAAGGGCCTGTGTGTGTCATTTCATTTAATATGGTAGTCTAATCTTTCATTGACTCAGAACAAAGAGATGATTGTTCCACCGCTTGATGAGTGACACTTGCCCAGCCCCTACAGAGATCTGTAGGTCAAGGTATCACATAGAATGTATAACACTGTATATACATTATAATATAATGTAATAATATATTGTATGTTATATAAACTGTCTATGGTATCACATCACGCCACTACTGTTATCAGTGTAATCCCTATAGCTGAGTGTAAGAGGATGAATTGTTAATTTAAATATTTGTTGTTGCTGCTTGCGGAACTTTGAATTTCCTTCGAGATCAATAAAGTATTCCTCTGTCTAAAAATCTTCCCTATGAAGTTTCTGATCATGTGTCTTAATTTCATAATACCAAAGTTGCTATAATTTCCATAGACAGTCTATTATAACCAGTGTTGGGAGTAACGCGTTATAAAAGTAACGAATTACAGTAATGCATTACTTTTTGCTGTAACGCAGTAATGTAAGGCATTACAGGGGAAAAAATAGTAATATTTTACTCGGTACAAATGTGAGTAACGCGCGTTACAGTGTTTTTTTTAACCTGGATTGAAGTGGTGGGTTTTTCTTCATACAAATTCGCTAAAATCACCTCGATATCAGCAGCGGTGAAACGCCGGAGATGCGCCCTCGTAGACCTTCAGGTAACCGCGGACGAAAGGACTGACAAAGAACTCCACGCTGTTTAGACCTGGTTTAGACCTGGGTCAGTTCTGGTTTAGACCTGGTTTACACTCGTCCCTCCCTCTATCGCAGTTCACTTTTCGCTGTCTCGCAGATTTTTATTTATTTTATTTTTTTTGTGCAATTTTGCATGCCCTGTTTTTTTTTTTACATTGTATGAATGCGTATTGCGTTCCTCCCGCTGCGTCCTGACTGGCCAAGGGACTCCTGTCTCCTGTACAGTACAGAATGTGTTCAGCTGCCAATTTTAAATACATGTTTAATCTCTAGCAGTGTGATTCTGAAGTGCTGTACGGTTGCAAGTTTTCTCCCCGACGAAACCCACAACATCGACGAAACGTTCTGCACCGACAAAGGCTCCTGCGCTCGCACCCAAAAGGCAGAGGAAGATGCAAACCATCACACAAAAAGTTGGACTTCTGGACACGCTGAAGGAAGGTAGAAGTTACGCGCTGTAACAGACTCTTGCACCGGCTCGGGTACCTGCAAATAGTTGCTGAAATCAGGGCCGCGAGCCCGAGCAGCAGGGTCCATAAAGAGCGATCGGGCGACAGCCGCTCTTACCTCCATGAGGTGCGGAGCAGAGCCGCTCCTTTCTCCTGCGGTCTCCTTCGAGCCCTTCCCTACAGTGAGTCCTGTTTTAGTCCAAGTTCAGTTCTAGTTTAGTCCTAGTTCAGTTCTGGTTTAGTCCTGGTTCAGCTCTGGTTTAGTCCTGGTTTAGACCTGGTTTAGTCCTGGTTCAGTCCATATACAGCGCAAAAGTTATTTTGGTGAGAGTAACTTAAAGTAATGCAATAGTAATGTAATGCCTTACATTTTAAATGCAGTAATATTGTAATGTAACGAATTACTTTGAAATTACAGTAATAGGTAATAAATAACGCATTACAGTTTCAAAGTAACTTGCCCAACAGTGATTATAACTTCTCATCCACAACCACTACAGTCTATGGGTATGTGTTCTTACTGCGCATGTGCTAGACCCTTAGCCGTGACGTTTGCGTCACGGAGTGGAAAACCCGGATGTGCCGTTGCTGTTAGCGACGCAGTCGAAGCAGACTTCAATTCATATAGTTAAAAATATAAATAATAATAAGGCCCATCGTAATATGAGTAATTGACTTGTCAGACTCTCGCTTCAAAGCGATACAAGGTGAGTAGCTAACAAAATGTAAGAAATTCAACCTATAATATGCAAGCTAACAGCTAGCTCGTGTCATTGTATAAAGCAGCTGTAGCTGTGTAACAGCTACGTGGATTTATCCTAGCGCTCCTATCTGTGCTTTGTTTTTTTTGTTTTTTTTTGTTTTTTTTTTTTTTTCAATAAACCAACTGTATGGCTTAAGGACGGTGTCACTATGTGCTTTCATAATTTGTGTTTTAAAGGGACATGGGTGTGGGGTGAGATGTTTACTTTATGGTTTACTGATTCAACAGTCTTCATTCCATGTCGCAGTCCATACAGCTTCAATCTTCTCTTGGTTAATTTTGTTTTTATTAGCAATAAAACATCGATTTTGGAATCTGTCTCAACCATTACTTGAAACTGCTCGCCCCATCCCCCACGTTTAAAACACAACTGCACAGGTCCATCCTTTTTGACAGCAGAAAACAAATGTGACAGGAACCACTCAAATCTCAAATTGATCATATGCCATTGTCAATCATTAATTAATCTCTATTCTAGGTCACTACAAGTCTTCTAATTATCAAAAAGATGAGTGGAGCAGCCCTGGGCTTTGAAATTGTGGTGGTGTTTTTTCTGGCATTGTTTCTGCTGCATCGGTATGGGGACTTTCGTAAGCAACAGCCTATGGTATTATTTGGCACACTTCTTGCCTGGTACCTGTGTTTCCTAATCGTCTTCATCTTACCTTTGGACGTTAGCACGGTTAGTGTAAAATCGAGATACAACTGAGTATATTTGTATTCACAGTGTTATTCATCCTTTTATATTTTTTTCAGACAATCTACAAACAATGCATTATTGACCATGATCAGATTGCCTCTGGTCCCACTGTTGGTCAATTCCCATTCACTAACACAACAAGAAACACATCTGTCACATCTACAAAGAGGTGTGTGTCATGTACAATAAAATATCTGCAATGACTCCTCATTCAAGGCCACTCCAGACAAAAACAAATTCATCAGTTCAGAAAGCTTGGTTTGGTTTGTTCTAGAGTGATCTTTAGTTCCTACCACTTGTTCTGTTTGCTTATAATTGACATTAAAATATGGTTTGATGTTGCTGCCCTTCATCTGTTATAGTCTGAAACCATGCTACAAACCATGGAGTTATATTCCTAATGGGATTATGCCAGTGTTCTGGAGAGTGGTGTACTGGACATCACAGTGTTTGACATGGTCAGTCAATGTAACCTGCTGATTATTACTTAATTTGAATGTTGTATCTAATATTCTTTGTATTTGCTTGTACATCTAGGTTGCTCCTGCCTTTCATGCAGTCATACGCTCGATCTGGAGGCTTTTCCATCACTGGAAAAATTAAAACTGCACTGATAGAAAATGCAATCTATTATGGGACATATTTGCTGATATTTGGCTCTCTGCTTATATATGTGGCTGTTCACCCAGAGTGGCATCTCTCCTGGTGAATATCTTATGTTAGTTCTTGAGATTTTGATTAAAACACAATTTAAAACCTTTACATCGCTGGGATTTCCTTAGGTATGAACTACAGACCATTGGTATCACAGCAGCCAACACATGGGGCTTGTTTCTTCTGGTGTTGTTGCTTGGATATGGATTGGTAGAAATTCCTCGCTCTTACTGGAATGCATCCAGACATGGACACATGCTCATCAAAACATATTTTAAGGCATCAAAACTAATGACAGAAAAAGCTGATGCAGAGGAAAACCTTGAAGATGTTATGGAGGTGCATGTCAAGTGGTGCTGTGGGTGTTATATTTGCTGTTAATGTAAACTTAAAATTTCAGCTTTGTGTTGATTTCAGGAGGTGAGAAAAGTAAGTGAATCTATAAAGTACAACCATCCACTGAGAAAGTGTGTTGACACAATACTCAGGAAAGTAAGTACGCTTAGCAATCCCCTGACCTGCTAACAGTTGTAGTCTGATGACTGTAATGTCTGACGCAGTGCCCAGTTGACTATCAGGAGAAAATGGGGAGAAACATGGATGACTATGAAGATTTTGATGACAAACAGAACACGTACCCCAGTGAGAAGAGTCTTGTAAAACTTCATAAACAGGTAAAAGATCAGTGATCGATTTAAATAATGTGATGGAATAGAGTTTTTATTTTTATATGTTTGCTTATCTAGGTGATTTATGCTGTGCAAAGGCACAACAGAACACGTGTGCAGTGGCAGATCCTCCTGAAGCAAGCCATTCATTTGGAAGATGTGGCCAAGAATGAAACTAGTTCTGCCCACCAGTTTGTTCACAGTTTTCCATCTTCAGAGCCAACTGGATGGTTTAGCCGATACATGTACACACCGACTGTCGGTAAGTTTTGTCATAGGACTTCACATTTTTCCATAATCAATTATTATTAAGAATTACTTTGTGCATTTGTTTTTTTTTTTGTTTGTTTGTTTGTTTGTTTTTTTTTTTTTCAGAATGGTACTGGGAGTGTTTTCTGAAGCGCTGGTTTTATAGGCTGTTGTCTGTCATCTTGACTATGTTCAGTGTAGCTGTGGTTTGGTCTGAGTGCACTTTCTTCAGCACCCGCCCTGTCCTTTCTCTCTTTGCTGTCTTCATCCAGCTGGCTGAAAGAGACTACAATTACCTGTACATTGAGGTATTTATTACTACAAACTAGCTTTGCTGTTGCCATGCATCCTTTTAAATTCTTAAACTAAAATGTAGTTTCTTGTCCACTAGATGGCATGTTTCCTCACAATTTTCTTCCTCTGCATTTGTGTTTACTCCACTGTGTTCCGTATTCGAGTTTTCAATTATTACTACCTGGCCCCACATCATCAGACTGATGCCTACAGTCTTCAGTTTAGTGGGATGTAAGTGTCATTGTTAAATAAAGTGTTAATACAATAAAAGTGTTAATAATATAAATTGTTAGTTAATCTAAAACACAACTACCTTCAATTTTATCATTACAGGTTGTTTTGCCGTTTAACTCCTCCTCTGTGTCTTAATTTTCTTGGATTGATTCACATGGATTCAGCAATATCGCATCAGCAGAAAGAACAGACTGCATACACCTCAGTAAGACGCCGCAACATGTGCCATACAATGTGCTAAAACTACAGTTAATAGTTTTGTCTCTTAGCTATGTATGTTTGCTTTTGTCTTTATAGATTATGGGATCCATGCATGTTCTCAATTTTATTGCAAATGGCTTCTATATCTATTATCCCATGTTGATTTTGATCCTGTGCATTGCAACATACTTCAGGTAAACTGCCCTTAAGTTGCAATTACTATTTATATAAACATGACTGAAATTTCACTTTCTTTTTTAGTCTTGGAACTCGTTGTCTAAACCTTCTGGGCTTCCAGCAGTTCATGGGTGACTGTGAAATGACATCTGACTTGATTGACGAGGGTAAAGAGCTTATTAGGAGAGGTAAGGCATACAACAGTTACAACAGTGTTTTAAGAAAAGTGATCTTTTAAACTGTTACTTTTTCATACAGAGAAAAGAAAACGACAAAGAATTGAAGATGGGGAGAACAGACGAAGAGTAAGTTCAAGTAAAAAATACATGCATGTTTACTCATTGTGTAACCAATATTGACTAATCAAAACAATGTTTATGTTTTTTTTCTTGAAGGAATGGAAGGAGCGTTATGGCAATCCAAGAGAAGAGTATACTGCAAAAAACATGGGCAGCCATGAAATGAAGGAAACCAACTACTCAGACACTGTCAACCCCAGCACAAACAGGCGTAAGTCAGACTAAATATGCTATATATATATTGCCTTAGTCATATGAGTGCAGCCAAACCTACCTTTGTTAATAGAAGCCAAGTATTCCCGGGGTGCTAATCGGGCAGAGAAGGACTGTGTTGAACTGCTTCAGGATGCAGAGCCTTTAGATTTTAATGCAGATTCTTTAACAGATGACCCACTTGATACCGACACTGGAAGGTAATCTTTATTTATTGTACTCAGATTCTCAATAACAGCCACACGTGTTCAATGTATTTAATTATCTGTGTGTTTTTATTGTAATTAGGCACTTGGGTGGACGGTATCTGTCCATGTGTTCATCTCGTAACAGGATCTTTGATGATGTCTAAGGAGGTGAATCATAAATTATTGTACACATCTGCCTTTCTGGACAGAGGAGAAATTCAAGTGAATGTATTTCAGTGCCCCACCTCAGGTTACATAATATAGGTGTTCACTTGTATCAAATGACTGCTTTACACTCCTGAATAGTCATTGGAAAGTTACAGCTAAAGTATACTTTGAATAACTGACTAATCCATCTATTAAAATATGCATGATTATGCTTTTCAAGAACAGGATCATCTAATGTTCTATACCAGTTTGAACACCTTAAACTGCATGCACGTTTTACTAATTTGATACATGCAACATGGCCATATGGGAGTAAGCAACAGTGAAAGAGGTATTATTATTTATTTATACTTGGCTTATTGTATTGAGCATATGTTACAGAAATAGAAAATAAACTTAGACATTCGTTTCGCACTGCTGTTTTTGTCACTGTTGGAAAGAGTAACTCAAAAAGTGCCATTAAAACAGACTTTAACCTTACATTAGAGTACACTAATCCCATGTTATAGAGGGTATGTAAATGTGGACATGTTTTGGTTCAGAATCTGATTTGTATATATTTAAGGTGCAGAACTAAAATCTATGTAACTGGACTTTCCTGTTTGTATATAGCTGTGTTAATGTACAATTTATCTTTTGTATATGACATGAATCAGTGGTTATTTTACATATTTTTGTTTAGTTATGGCTCTGAAATTGTTAATTTAAATCTTAATTACTGTTCTGTAGACTAGGTAACTTTTTCAAAACATCTTTGCACTATACACTGTCACCTCTTTCTTATAGTCTGATCATGTAATGGTGAAAATGAAGTGTTTAAAAAGGAAATATGATTAATTATTATTTATTGTTAATATTAAATATTCTGTAAAGGACAAATAACATGTGGTCTAGTGTTTGATGTCTGCTGCTGCCACTATTGTGTAATAGATAATAAAAGAGCATACAATGCAAACAGATTTTGCATGATTGTGTATAATTTTCTAAAAATATAAGATAGGCTTGAAGTACACTTCAGACTTATAGGTATCAGACCTTTCGTCGTTATAAAGTGCTGCTGTTTATGGTATGACCGATGAGGACAAAGTAAACACTGCGTCTCCATGGTAACCGCGTGGGGTTGATAGGCCAAGTAAAACATCACCGAAACTTACGCTGTATGTCTGGATTCAGAGGACCAATCTTGCTCACGATCTAACTGGTACGCTTCGATGTAACTATAAATGTATATGTACGTTAGCTTTGAGGGGAAAAAAAAAAAAAAAACTTTGCGAGACAACTATGATTGAGCTAACATTATCAAGTAGCCTACTACAGCTTTTCCTCGGTTTACTTTCTATTTCATTTATTGAAAAAAACAAAAAAAAACATCTCCCTTAACCAAGAGCATAGTTACCTCACTAGATGCTCTTCAATTTATATGTAGGTAAGTTGTTTAACTGCTTTATTCCCCCATATCTAAAAACAGTCTATACAGTAGGCCTAGAGATAGGCTAACTATTTTGTGATGGGAAAGGACACGTTACAGTAGCTACAGGAGCTATGTTTATGTATGATAACCTATTTACCCATATCCAAATCCAATTTATTTAGCAGAATACATGACTTGTTGCCTAATACTAACTTTATGAGATATCCATTTAATATATATATATATACAAATAAAAAATCAGTAGTAGTAGTAGCAGCCTATAGATTATGAATGTGTTTGACATTGTGTGCTGTGTCTTATCATTCTCATATCTGTAATTTCTTTACAGAGATTATAACCTCACTTGAATATGGCAGGGACCTCCAGACATGATCATGAGATGGCTATAAACGCCAAAAAGCAGCTGGCTGTGTGCTCTGACCCTGTGGAGCGACTAAGGCTGCAGTGTCTCACAAGAGGCTCCTCTGGCATCAAAGGTCTTGGCAGGTAAGGATTTACATAACGATTACATTTCAACACTGTATATTGGGCTGCTGTGCACATATTCCTCCCTGTAGGTTGTATAGATCTTGAACAGAATATGAATTCAATCAAAGACTCAGCTATGGTGAAATCTTTTTTCTTTAAATGATCAAATCCCCCAAGTGACTGTGAGTTGTTGTTTTCCTCAGTTATGAAGCTGTGAAAATGACTAGGGACTTGTACTATAAGTGTCTGCTTAAAACTGGTTGAGGATTGTATCAGATGTACAATGACACAAATCCCAGATAAACCAGGCCTAGGAAGGGGCTGAGTAATACACTATCAACTCAAAGTGACATGTTTGGTCACCACCAATCACTCACACACTCACACATATAAATTTATACAAATTGCAACATTCATTGTCAGTATAGGGACATCTTGGTTGACTAAACTTCTTGTCTGCACCAGAACCTTCAAAATAATGGATGACAACAACAACCGCAGTCTGGACTTCAAAGAGTTTGTGAAAGGCTTGAATGACTACGGGGTCTTGATGGAAAAAGAGGAGGCCACAGCTCTTTTTCAGCAGTTTGACAGAGATGGCAGTGGGACCATAGACTTTGATGAATTTCTCATTACTCTCAGGGTAAATAGATTACATAGTAAAATTAATGACCTCAGAAATTAAATGCAATATTTTGTTGTTTTTATTTTTCCAACAGCCACCAATGTCAAAGGCCAGAAAGGAAGTGGTCATGGAAGCTTTTCGGAAGCTTGATAAGACCGGAGATGGCGTGATAACAGTAGAAGACCTCAGAGGTGTTTACAACGCCAAGTACCACCCCAAATATCAGAATGGGGAATGGACTGAGGATCAGGTTTTCCGGACGTTTTTGGACAGCTTTGACTCCCCTTATGAGAAGGATGGAAAGGTGCAAGATTTGATTATTAACATCTAAAGACAACAATAACCACATCATGACAGTGTATATGTAGTCAGAGTAGTCAAATATGTGGTTTCTGTTGAATTTGAAATATTTACACTTTGTCATTCGAACACTGTTACAATGTTAAATGTCTGTCACTGCTATAACTTTGTATCTGTCATGAAGGTAACCCAGGAAGAGTTTATGAATTATTATGCTGGTGTGAGTGCCTCCATTGATACAGATGTCTACTTTATTGTGATGATGAAAAATGCCTGGAAAATTTGACTTAGCAACACAGTACGGTAAACAAACTTGACTCAGTAGGAAGTAGCTTGAGGGGGTGGATTTGAACAGTCAGGTGGCTTGGGACTTGGACCTCTTTCTTTTTCTTATGGTACAAAATGCTATATTTCCTTTAGCAATAGATTGTTGTCTCTTACAACTGAAACTCTGGTGATGGGTGTTGATCTGATAACATTGCAACCTCTTCAAAAATGATCATCAAAATTCATCTCTTGACTGAATTCTTATTTTTTTGTAAAATAGATCAAACTATTTTAAACTGGTTTGTTTTGATGCAGGTGACCAAAGATGAGTTCATCAATTACTACTCTGGGGTGAGTGCTTCCATTGACCGTGACGTCTACTTCATTCTCATGATGAAAAATGCCTGGAGACTTTGAATTCATCAGTGTCAAGAAACATGTCAGCACAAAAGTTAATCTACAGCCAATGTCTGTTCAAAGGAGATATTAACCTGTAAGTAGATAGTAATAGCTTAGTTTATCTGTAGTTTACCACGTTTTTAAAAAGCTGGTTTAAGGGTTACACAGAGCAATTACCAAATGTACATGGGATTAAAGAATACTTTATTACATTTGTGTCTAGTATGTAGCCCAAGATCATTGTGTCTGTGGAATTAAACAAAAACAAGTGTACGTTTTCAATTAGGGTTTACCAAAGTGTCTTAGATATGTATATCCCCTCTTAAGTCAGCCATCAAATAATGTGACAGCATTTACTATCATGTCCTATGCTCAGTGATCCGTACAATCTATATGAGACAAATATGGAATGATAATGTATTAGAAATGCAGTGTGTTGACATTTCCTGCAGGCTTTTAAGCCTGGAGCAGTTGGTGTTTTGGATTTTTTTATTATTATTATTATTTTTTTTTTTTAACCTTTATTTAACCGGGATAATTATGCATACAAGAAAATATTTCCTGTACATTGACCACAAGGTACTTTTAGGTAGAAAAAAATATTGACTTTGCTTAATGTCTTAGTTTTTCACTTTTTTAAGAAAGAAAATATCAATTTTCAATATACTTTATTTAAGTTCTTACAATTATATTTTTAAATCATCATAATAAATCCATTGTCATCACTGTGTATAATAACAAACAAAACTTTACATATAAATACAAAATATAAGTAAATAAAGCATGGGTTACAAAGTATACTGCATGTTTTTCATTATTAGCAGTTCCGAGGTGGTGGTTGTGTGAGTTAAAGCAGCTTGGTGAAGCATTACCTTTCCTTCTTCAGCCACAGACAGTGATGTGGTGTTAGATCAAGAACAGATGAACAGGTTTTTACAAAACAAATGCAAGTTCTCAACAGAAGTGCAGATGTGGAGCAGCTCAGTATGATTGAATGTTTAGGCTCATTACCTTTGTGCAATGATTTTGATAATGTTTTATAAAATGGCGAAGCAGCTTGGATGAGCTGCGAAACGTCTTCAAACAAACTAAATTTTTTTGTCCAGTCGACAAACTGAATTTTCTCCTCGCCATGGATTCTACCTGGACGACTGAGGGATTCTTCACACTTCTATAAAATGAGAGAATCTATTTATACAGAAACATACAGAAAATTAGGTTTCCATTGATTGAGGAAGCAGCATTGAAAACCTGAGTGTGTGTTCTACTGTACATGAAAAACAGGGATGTAACAATGCACCATTGGTCTAAAAAACTTAAAGATTTCAATTGTGACCCCAATTTGGTTTATTATTATTATTATTATATTTTATTTTGGGGAGAAAAAATATTTGAAATGCTATTTAAATCACCCTTATTTAACTATGCCTAATTATGTTTAAAAATGTTATCTTAAAATTGTAATTAATTTAAAATGGTTAACTGTTATATCCCTTTGAAAAAAGAAAAAAAAAACATCCCAAACAAAGATTAAGTTGCACTCCAATTTGTGACGAATGATTTGTTATCTGTCCCCACTGTTTTGATCTGGTAGAAACTGGACATGGTGACATAGGAATCGTCCCTTTCATGTTGTATGTTACTGTGCTGGAGTGGGGGAGTCTCTGGCGCCTCTACATGTTGGACAGTGTTCTGAATGGGCAGAGCTTCTTTTGGGACATCGGGCTCCCCCTCTGAGCTGCTCTGGCTCAGCAGCTCCAGCTCCTCTGTGCGGACGCTGCTGCTGCTCAGAGACGCATCTGTGCTCGGGGTGGGACAGGATGGGCTCTCCTCTGTCCCCGCTACAGACAACATAGGCTCTGTCTCACCATAGGCCAGTCCTGTGGAGGAGCTCATGTTGGAGTGGACATTTAGGGAGCTGAATTCCTCTGGTTTGTAGATCAGTAAGAGGCCCTGTAAAAAAAAAACCAACATATCATGTTATTGTTATTGCTGAACAGCATCACCTTCATAATGTAATCTGTGGGTTGTGTGTAACATACGCACGTTATTTGGCCCACATATTTGCATAAGAGTTGTTTTTGGATGTGGTATGCTTGGCCATATGTAGGTCAGTATTCTGTAGAAAAATATAAAAAGGAGTCCATAATTAATCAATTAATCATTTTAATTGTCAATGATCAGTTTGGGGCTTTGAAGAGGCCTACAGCTAATCCTCTGTCAATAACACTTAAAGTAATAAGACAAAATAAAATAAAATCATGATGCATCAATTTCTGGGGGAAAAAAATCTGTTAAATACAAGTATTTAACTTGACATTTGTGGGAACAATATTACCAAGTACTACTGCACATTTAAAATAACAACATTGATTTTGAGTGAAAATTATCATAAAACTTACTTATTTTTCCATGTGAACACCACGCTCACTACCACTACAGCAGCAGGTATAATGCTCCACAAATGGACGTAGCGGTTTTGTGAAGTACCACCTATTGCAAACAGACCGTTTCTGGTCTCCACGGTGGGCGTTGTGAAGGTGACGGCATGGCTCCATTCACTCCAGCTGCCCTGGAAGTAATCCCACGGTACAGCCCGCACTTTTACATGATACTGAGTGCCACCGTCCAGATTGTCCAAACCGATGCTCATTGAGGCCGATGACATGTTCCGTGTCTGAGAAATACCAAAACATTTGATTTTTTTTTAAATACTATAATGTTTTGGGATTTTTTGGTAACTCGTTTAATACTTGTGAACACGATAAGAGGAAACTTTTACCAGGTTGGTCTTTTCACTCCAGAGCTGAATCTGAAAGCGCAGGTCGCCCACTGTCAGGTAGTCGCTCTGATACGGGATTTGGACTTGAACAAGAGCCTCGTCCTGGTTCAGGGTCACGTTATATATATGTGGACTTTTTGGTTTGACTTCAGAAAATTAGAGAAAATATCAGTGACAAAATATAGGAAATAAAGTGTTCAATAAAGTACTGAAATGGAAAATAACACACTTATTTTTTTGAGGTCAAGTTCTGTCACAATGCGGTGGCCTCTTTTCAACAGAACCGTCAGAGTGATGGGTAAATAAGGATTCAGGTCTTTGGAGCTCAGAGTGTCTCCCAATTCCTCCACACACTTTTTTGTGTTCTCCCCCAATTTACTAAGGGTATATATAATAATACAATTATTCATAGTATACAGATACCATGATGTGACAATATATGTTAATTTTCAAAGTGCACATGATCAGTCATTTTGTGAAATACTTGATCTGACCAATTATTTCCTTCTACATTCGAAATGTGTGGATCTGTCTGGCCAGGTAAGTGAAATACACTTATCTTAATAATTACAAAAATACTATTATCTTTTCTTTTTGCATTTGTACCATTACAATGTTGTGATATTTTGTTTAGAATAGTTTTTACCAAGCAGTTATACTCTGAATCTCGTCATAGTCTTCATCCTCATCATCCTCCAAATTGAAGCCGGTAGAGACAAGCTGACAGGTTATATTAGTCCCTTCAAACAGACTGATGTGGGACCAGCAATCCACTGTGGGCATTAACACAAACAACAGGCTTAGAGCAACTCTAAACTTGTGTGTGCTGTTCATATGTTAAATATATTACATTATGTTTTACCCAGACAAGGATAAGACTCACAAATCACTTAACTGATTTTGTTGATGATTCAAAAGACTGTATGTGTTCTCACCCATGCCTGAGTCTGGCTCTCCACTCTGGGCCGTGGTCCTGGCTGACAGTATCACAGTCCACAGCAGCAGCATGTTTCTGTGTGTCTCTGCTTCACCTGTGCACAGTCTGCCCCTCAGCGCTCTCAGATTTTGAACCATTCACAGGGAAGATGGGTGGAGCCAAGATTCACATTCACATACACAGGAAGCTAGATACTCACAGGATGTTCTGAGTTTATGTGGTAGTGCTGTGTTGAATTGTTTTGTTTTGGCAAGAAGAGGGGTGCATGGGGTACAGACTTTGCATTTCTGATAATTTGTCCTAAATACATGAGGTGTTCAGATGCAATAAGGCTCATGCTGCTCATGTGCAAGGTATTGGTATTCCCCCTTTGTTGATCTACAGGGTGTTATACAGGTCCCTAATTGTTGAAACAAAAAATTGAAGTTTCTGCTTTTATATTTCATATTTTTATTGAGAGTTCTTCACATGCTAGGGGAGGAAAATCCTGCAGTTTTACAAAGCAGACAAGAAGGTTATCTCTTGATATATAGTGTGTTGGCAGTACTTGGGCAGTATGTTTGACAACTTTGTGACGATGGATACTGCTGTGAAGTGAACTCTGGTTCAAAATAGATCAGCCACATTCATTATACTGGAAATTGAGGAAAGATCATTATAGTTGTATTGCAAAACATTTATAAATTATCTTATATTCTATTCCTGCTACAATAGTAGACACTCTGAATGTCTTCTCATCACAATACAGGCAAGAGTGCTGCTGCAGACAAGTCTCCCTCTCATCAACAATAACATCACAGTACCTAAACCAGTGCCTCCAAACCACTTCCCGTATAGAGTGATCTACTTTGCTTTGGGGCCAGAGTGTTTACCATGAGTACACTGAACTCCACGCGGGGACAGCGGCCACGACTGTCACCTTTGCATAAAGCTTCCCACCCGCATAAATAAACTTCAGTAAAGAGGAAATCACAATATCTACACTTACTATGTTATGTTGGTATTTCTTATGCACAAAACAACAAACTGTTTTGTTCAATAATATCAATGTGTTTTACAATAGCCATTCAAAATCAGACCCACGGCTATGTCCTTTAGTTGCTCTTGAGTATTCATTACAGTAGTTCTGTTAGGTTCTTCACTTAGGCAATTGTTGTTGGTAACAAATGTATATTTTTCTTCAATTCTACCAGTATCTGTTATGTAAGTTACATCCTTGTAAAACCCATAATGAGCTGAAATACTGTGTGTAAAACAATTTCAACGATTGTATAATATGTTCATTGATAATACATTTCAGCTGTTCTGTTACTGCTTCAAAGAGTTAGGGTTCAAGTCTTTGGTTTCCCCTGTCTAAATTCTTTCATAATAAATAATAATATAATAATAAAATTGATTTTTTTTATTTCAGAGTAACCCGCATTTTCAAGAAATGTGGTTTATTGGTATTACTTCGTTACTCCTTTAACGATAGCATGCACCTGTTTTCTGTTTTGGACAGTATCCTTATGTGCTATAGATAGAGGCTCAGCAGAGAGGCACCCGTGGGTGGGAGCAGGGCTCAGTGGGAATGAGGGGTGTTTTAGCACTCGAATGCGTGTGTGGGTGACACTTGTGGTTCACTTGCAAACAGAAAGTTTAGTTTGGCAGAATTATGTATGTTGCACAAGTGCCTTTAATTACATGTGACTGTGCCTAATACATACACAGTAATTGATTGTTTCTTTAATATAGTTCTGAACAGAATTGAAGAAGCCACTTGGATGACTGAGATTATACAGACATATTTCTTTAATATAACTTTATATATATATATATATATATATATATATATATATATATATATATATATATATATATATATTTTTTTTTTTTTTTTTTTTTTCACTTTATTCAACTTTATAAAATTTATTGACATCAACCTTTCAAATTATAAAAGAACAATGAATATATCAGTATAACATAGAATTTTTTTGCTCTAGAGATGACTGGAATGTTTTCTGTATCACCTCGTGTTTCTTTTGGCCCTGAATTTAATATTATATAAATATAAAATTTGAATAGTGATTTAAAGAATGATGTTTTGAAGATACACTGTGACTGCTTTAGACCGCATAGCTGAGGTTGTATCTCTGCTCACATCTCATAACACTTTCTGTGGTTCAGATTGGTATGGTTGACTCCCGCTGAAGCAGAGATGGGAATTCATATTACCACCTTTTAGCAGAGTAAGTTCACTCAGAGTTATAGTGTGTCTTGTGCATTAAGTCCTACGACGTAAATGCAGACTCAGGATGTCCTTACTATACTGATAAGTTCCCATATCTGCCTGGAGCATCTATTTATGTCAGATGTCTTGACACCTACGCCCGAACCATCAAACCACAGCGTAAAATCTTGTAGTGATGAATGCGAGCAAAGCCACACCAAATGAGGGCACCTTTAAAGCTGCCACATGAATGTTTTCCCTCTCTGTCTTCTGAAAGTGTGCATGGAGGGTCTGTACTCAGCTCGTTTCAGCCCAGTACAATCCACGTCTTCAAAACTCTACACAGCATCTTAACAGTACTAAGCATTGCAGATGCATCTTCATTTCTATAGAAAGGTGTTGCAGGTTTTGCAAATGCTTCAGAAATGACTTGTCACCACATCCTCTTCCTTGAGTCATATTATTTATCATCATCCTTTAAAAACACCTAAAACTCCACATCACCTTCATTTTAACATCTGGTCCTATTAGTTTATACGATTTTAGCAAAATTAACCCTTTGTTTGGGCCCAGTGTATGTAGCTATAGTAGTTAAACCAAGCTGACTCAGGTGCAGATGGCACAGAGGGAGTGCATTAGTTTCTGTTTGTGGCCTTGTGGAAGTGTCCTAAAGCGCCTGCCACCTGAACAAACCACGGCCTGCCTCACAAACGGCTCTGTCTCACTCACCCTGGGAAGCACCCTCCAAACCTGCTCACACTACACACTGTAATGGGAAATACTGCTGAGTTTCATATGATATCACACCGTTCTAGGTTAATATTATTTAATACAGATGGGGGACACCTAAAATTTATATTGTTCAGCTGCAGATTTTTGTTGTAATTTCGCATAGTTTTGGGTCTAGTCAATAATAGAAATGATCAGGTTTGATATTTGTGAATTTACCTTTCTGATATTTCATGGCAAAATAGAATGTAATTAATAGGAAACACTGGCTCTTGCCCCCCATCTGGAAGTATGACATCGGCACATGCATGAATCTGAAAACCACCAACAGAGGCTACCACTCGTACTTCTAGATGACTGAAAATTATTCTTACGTTTTGATTTTCAAATACCTTAAAAAAGCATTGATATTTTTCTTTTAAAAGTGCACTACATAATTTTTCTGGTGAAAGAACCTGCTTATCTCTATAGAAATGTTATAGCTATGTCTGGAATTTACAACAGTATCGCATTTAGCATGTCTATAGCCATAAAGTCAAGCAGGTGACACCACAAGGCCAAATTACAGGTAAGATATTGGAGAGATGACAGTACTCCCAGTAAGAACATGATATTCAGGTTGTTTTATTGAAAAAATAAAATCAAAGAAAAAGAAAGAAAAACACTTGTATTAATAAAGGCACTATGTCATATTGTGTAACATTCCAGACTGTCAGGTGTCGGTCCCTCCACCACAAAAGTTACGTAGTGCACGTTAAAATATTAAAATATAAACAATCTACAAATCGACCAATAAAGTAGAGGCTGTACTCATCCGATTTATTTTCACAATTTTAAGGCAGCTGTAAAGATTCCTTGATTTCTGAACAGCAAAGTATTAGTACAGAGATGACAGCATGACATAAGTAATTATTTAAAAAGCATTTTTGCAAATATACAGGTACTTAATTTAATCACATTACTATTAAGATTACCCGTATTGCCTCTGATGACATGCAAACATTTTGAAAGACCTTCTTTGCAAAAACTGACAGAAAAATCTGTGTTAAATTATAGAAACTACATTACTGATGGATGCAGGCATGCATTTTATAAAGTAGTTTAAATATTTCTATAAAAGACATCTGTACAGCAACACTATTCCACACACATCTAGCTTTGTTATTTTACTGAAAATAAAGTTATTCGAGTACCATGTACATGTGCATGTCCTCACAGAATTCAATGTCTGAGAGGTGAAAACCATTAGGACTGGGCAGCAATTCTAAAACATGCCAGCAGAGGGCACTTTATCATAGAGGCAGTCAAACAGATTTGTATCATTGTATCAAGCAAAAGTCACAAATGTATGTAATTGGCATTTTAAAGAGATTATAACTATTCTTGGACAAGGCAAGACAACAAAGAAAACTGGGAAATGTGCCTTAGATTTGTTTTTGCATATAAATGGCCACAACGTATCACTACATCATACACCTGCCTTGATCAAACATACAGCTTTCATTCATTATTCTTTCTCCTATATGTCTCTTTTTCATTTGTGGTTTAAAAAAAAAAAAAAAAAAAAAAAAAAACTTTTCGGAAGCAATTATCAACCTTCTTTCCATGCATTTCACCTGCCCTTTCTTTCTGGTATAGCGTCCAACTGTTTGTTTAGGCCACCTTGTACCTTTTACACTGGAGACTCAACAGCACTGAACATACCTAGTGATGTAAACTTGTTAGTCCACTCCACAGGAGCATATGACATACTTTCTCTCTGTATCTACGGTTGTGTCCACTTCAGTTCAGCTTGGGTCAGACTCGGTTGATGAAGTCCAAACCAAGGGATGCAGGGATGTGCAGAGAGTCCAGGCTGAGAGCAGAGGGCGTGTACGGGAAGAGTACTGGGAAAATGTGTTTGGTGTCCACCAGGAGCTGCTGAGGGTCATTCCTCTCCTGTAGACGACTCTGTACATAGGTGTTCGTCACATGTTAAAAGTGTAACTTGCTGTCCTACTTTGTGTAACACTGTCCTACACTGTCCTGCACTCTCATACATTGTGTAACATGGTGGTGCAAACTTTAATAGACTGATAGACTCTTACCTGGATGTCACGGATGAATGACACAGTGACTCTTTCTTCGAACTCATTTAGTGGTGTATACAGGTTCAAGATTTTTACAATCTGTGAAAATAAGAAGATGTTAGTATATTAGAAACTTAGTTTTAATCAAATTTTTTATATGGTTTATCATCGTGAACCTGTTGTGTGGTGAGGGCAGTGCAGAGAGAACAGATAGCCTCTGCGTCCTGGGACGTCTTCTTCTTGACCTGCAGTAACTGAGCAGCCTGAATGATGGCCTCCAGCGTGGCAGCAGCTTTACTCTGGTACAAGTTATTTGCTCTGAGCCACTCCTCCATCTGACTGGTGTTATACCTACACAAATCAAAACATGAGCACTATGTCTGTCTGTGGGACTATTAAATGATCGTTTCACCTCTTTATGTCCAGGTCTAGCCCCAGTCACTATAATGACATTTTGGCAGATTTTAACAGGAGGCGTTGCTGTCTGAAGCTTTGCTGCTCAAGTTATTTCGAGCTGATGTATGCTGTTAAACAAGTCTCTCTTAAATAACACTGAAGATACAAGCTAGCAGTAGCTAACATCTTTTTTTTGTTGAACACACCGAAAAGGGACCATGACTGAAAATATGTGGTTTAGAACCATATTGTTAGTTTGTTTTTAGATGACCTAAACACTGGTTTAATAATGCATGCATTGAGTCGTTACCATAATAAATGGGAAACTGCCCCCTTCCCCCCATAATGTCACACTTAGGAGCTCCATTTTCAAGTACCTGAGCTGCATGCCCGTACTCCAGGAGCACACGTCTTTGCGCAGCAGCAGGTTGTTGAGTGTGACGGCATTGATGCAGTGGAACAGCTGTCGGACCACCTGCCCAACAATCTCTGGGTCCAGGCCGTGATCCCCCATGATGCTGTGGAACTGGCCCAGCTGCCGGATCAGGGCGTCCAGAGTGTAGCTACTGGGTCCAGTCCCGTCATTATCCATACTTGAGGATCGGTTCCTGTATCCCGTGGGCTTCACAGCAGCCAGGCTCGGGATGCTTTCACTTTCCAACATGGCCGACACTGAATAGAAAAATGACAGTAATGACATCAGTAAAAAAAACTTACAGAAAAAATTATTAAATTAAAATAAATTAAACCGTATGCAATAATATTCAAAGCCACAAACTAACTAAATTAATAAATCAATCAATTTAAAAAATTCAACCATAAATTACAAAAAAATGTATTATTAGTGGAGCAGGGTTAACAGTTCATATTTTAGTATTTCATACAATGATCAGTAAAACATGGTGATAATAAACCTACCGATCATAGGTTGAATGATGCCCTCAGCCACTTTGACGAGCTGCTGGTAGATCTGAATCGAGAGGTCGCTTAGCACCTGTCTATACTCGGCCAGGTCAAAGTTTTTCAAACAGTGCTCGTTTTGTTTTGGAGAATTCTGGGTCATGAAAGCCTGGATGACAAAAGACAAATTATTAAAAGTGTGATTGAAACCTCATTAGTTCCAGTTTAACTTTCTTAAGCTTACTTCATCACCACTGTACTGCTTCAGACAATGGAGAAGGCGACTTGTGTTGGCCAGCCAGAAGGATGTCATTTCAAAATCATCATTGTTTTTCTACAGTATATACACAATGGTTAAATTCTAGAATACATTATGATAACAAATAAACAAGAGTCTTGTTTCTCTTTACCTTAAGGACTTTCTTGATTGCATTAATAGTTGAGGTGAGCAGAGACTCCACTTTCTGGTCATCATTAATGTAATCTGCATGTCGAATGCACATGAAGAGAATATATGCAGGCAAACAAGGAACTGTGGCTGACACAACACTTGGTCTGATATCTGAAAATATGCATATAACACCAGAGTTGAAGCAAAAAAGCTCTTTTACTAAATGGTAAATTACTCACAGTGTTACTCACCAGTGATGAGAGACTTGATTAGAAGAGCCTCGTCATCTTTGCTGTACTCCAGCATCCCCTCAAAGTCTTTCTCCTTACGCTGCACTGTCACCTGTCGACTCAGCTGAGGTTTAGCTCTGCTAGCCTGAGCCGCTGCCTGCAATGCTGTACAAAACAGTGACATGCAATGTGAACTGTTGTCCAAAATCACATTTTCACACTCTCACTCGTACCTTCAAGCTCCTGCACTTTCTTCATGTAGATCCTCAGTTGCTTTTTCAGCTTCTTTTCGTTCTTTTCCAACTTTTCAACAAGCTCTTTGAGATCCTACAACAACAAGAGAGACCACACAATGAAAGGTGTGTCTTACAGTCTATTCAGTGCGGAGTGTCCTGGGACAGGGCGATGACCTCACCAGGTTGTCATTGGTGAGACGAGTGATTTCTTGTTGGACGCTGTACTCCACCTGTGCCTCAGGGGACAAAGACATGGTGTAGTTCAGCATTTCCTGTTTCTTCTCAATGTCATCCTTTAGCAATTCAATCTGAGTGTGTAGCGCCTCCAGCTCATCTTTGTGCTGCCTGGACTGAGACTGGAGCTGAGCCTCCAAGAGTCTGATGGAGAACATAAGACAAGGCAGGTGTACCAAACTTGGTCACAACATTGAAATATAACATGCAGGATAAAAGTACTAGTTTCTGTATATAATTGCTATTTTGTGCAATAGAAATTGTAATGAAAAGTGAAAAGAAGACGGCACACAGCATCAGGCAAACAGCAGAGACCTTGCTACTTGCTTTAGGCCCTGGTAAGCCAAACCGAGCTCCCCATCTTCATTCAAATAACACCAGTCTTGTGCTTTACTGAAGTCCCAGCAGAGAAGCAAGAAAAACAGCAGCACCAGATAAAATTAATTAAGAATGATTCATGAGTGTGTAATCACAAGAAACAGGCATTAAGAAGCTCTTAGAATTACTACGACTACGAAGTACTATCACTACTGCATCAGTTTGTGCACTTACTTTTTAGACTCACACAATCCCTGATAAGCTTTCATTGCCTCCTCTTTGTCAATGGGCTCTTTACTGTTGTTTAGTTCAGGCATTTCAGTGCACTCCTGTAAAAGAATAAAACATTTTTTGTTGAATTAATTTATTCCCACTGTGCACCTTTGGTAACATTATAACTACAAACGTACAATATGCCCGTTCTTCTCCAGCTGCTGGGCATTGCTGACGATCTGTGTGCGGAGAATGAGCACTTCTTCCTTTCGTGCATCCAGTTCCTCGTTGGCGGCCTTTAACTGACTGAGCAGTACATTGTAGCCATCTTGTAGCTCATTGGATGAGTTGTTTTGTGAGGCCTTCTCTGCTACGGTCTTCCTCAGCTCATTCAGGTCATTCTTCAGTTTTTTGTTCTCAGACTCCAACTCTTGTCTCTGCAGCAGCAAGATAAAAAACAAAGATGAGGAAAAAATATTATAGTTATTAATGTTGTGTTATTTTAAAGAGGACAAAGCTGAAGAAGTGATACTGGACTGTACCTTCAGATTATTATAGGCCAGATCAGCATTTTCCTGCTCAGTTGTTGGGCTTCTTGGCTCCGGGCCCTTTTGACAGAAATAAAAAAAACACAACAATATAACCATTACATAAAATATAAGAACAAAAGTGAAGAGTACAAAAATATAAAAAGGTGGCTCTGTAGTATTCTGTATTTTCACCTTGCGTTTGTTAAGTTCCTCCATCTTGTCAATGTGAGTTTGAAGTCTCTTCCTCTCCTGCTCCAGCTCTCGCACTCTTTTCTGCAGCTTCATAAAGAGACTGATGTCCATTGCAGCTTTTTCTATTCCCATGTCCTGCACAGACACACAAGGTCAGCTTCTGCCTTATCTGTCACCATGATAATTATCTAATTACTAAAAGCCTACCTCCATTTGTTGGATGGCATCCTCTGTGTCCCCAACCTCTGAGGTGGAAATAGACGGATAATTACTGTCTGACTCTAAGCTGCTCTGATTGGACGGGTTCCTTCTGTGGCCTGGCTGAAACTGAAACAAAAGCAAAGATTTAGCAGTAGAAATAATGATGTTATAGAGGTGCACAGTTCAAATGCTAAAATGGTTGATAATAAACCTTAGATAGTGACATCTCCTCTTTGAGGTTGTCATATCTCTGCTCCAGTCTTGAATACTCCTTCACAAGATTCTGGTATCGCTGTCTCTCAGCATCAAGCTCAGACTGTAGCACGCTTTCTCTGGTATTTTGACCCTCTGGAAAAAGAGAATATGTGTAATTAATTTAAAAAAATATATTTTAAAAAATGTATTGCTCATTATCCAATACAGATATTGATGACCACAATGATAATATAATAATTATAATATATAAAATAAATAAAACAATTTATCAGACTAAAAATAAATAAATAAATAAATAAATAAAAAAATTAATTAATTAATTAATTAAAATAGACAGGTAATTACTGTCTGACACTAAGGTCTAAGCTATATTTACAAAAAAATTAACTTGATAATTTCCTCTGTGCTCACAAAATCAGTGTTTTCAGAAAAAACAAACACAAAAGACCACTGTCAAGAAACCTGATTTAGTCCATACTTTAAAACAGAGGAACGTTTGTTCAGGAGGACAAACCTTCACTGTACAAGCCTAAGTAACCAGCTATACTCACCTTCAGTGCTCTTTGAGTACAGCAAAATTCTCTGGTTCATATCTTCCTTTTCACGTTTTAACATAGCATTTTCCTTCTCCAGCTCCACAACTCTCTAAAGTCAGACAAAACAACAATTGGGTTCATTTACAGGGGCAGTCAAAATCAGATAACCCAATAATCAGATACAACTATTGCTGCCCAAGAAGAAAACATCTGATGATATCTGATAGTTAATTAGTAGATTTTTAGAGTAACTGCAACTGGAAGACAACATATAATGAATGATTTAAAATTACTACCTCTTTCAGTCTTTCACATGTTTAGGTGTGTCACCATAAATACTATATCGACTTATAATTAAATATATGAAAGCTGGAACAATATTTTTTGGGGATCAGTATTTATCATGAAAAAATAAGAACCCAAGAAGTTAATGTACATAAGAAGACAAAATGAAAGTTTTTGGATTGGCTAATTTGTGGCTATTTTTTGGCAATACAATAATATTTAAAGCATAAAAGGTTGAATTAATCTATGATCTTCTATGACTCATTAGTACTTTAGTTTGCATCTGTAAAGTGTTTCATTGTGCTGTTTATTTATTGCAGCTCATGATTTTTTAACAATATTGCACATTTAGAATAGTTTTGTGGTATAAATGTGCTCTTGGGTTATTGTGTCAGTAACATGTATTGTGTATTGTCTATATTTTCTGCAGCAATATATCGCACTTCAAAATTTGTTATAGTGACAGGCCTACACATGTTCTCTTTCATGTTTGTCTTTGCCATTTTTGCATAATTTTCCTTATGTTTACATGTGCATCTATAATCTGAGTTTTCAAGAGTTGTTAAAGTGACAAATCTAAATTTGATGTAGGTGTGATGTACACACTCACCCATACTCAGATCTCTAGTTGTGTGATTTAACTGGGCACAGATTGCAGTCAGAGTAAGGTGAAAACATTCAAATCAGATTCCCCCTCACCTGCTCCAACCCCATCTTTTCTGTGCTGTGTTCCTCCTCCATCATCTTCCTCTGGGCATAGGCCTCCTGCAGAGCAGCCCTCAGTCGCTCCAGTTCATCTTGTAGCGAGGTCACCTGACCACTGTCGCTCTTTTGACTTCTGATCTGCTCCAGCTCCTTCTGTAGCTTGGTAACTTCTGTGCCCAAAGATGTATTGACTATAACAAGCTGCTCATTCTGCTGTTTGTAGTCTTTACTCTAAAATATAAGAAAGACAAAATTACTTTAATGAAAATTTTAAAAGCTCCTGTCTCATTTTTAGAAATGTTTTACCTGTTCATCCATTTTCCTCTGTAGTTGAACAATTTTATTTTCCATTCCTGTGTTGAGCTTCTTCAGATGCTGAGCAGACTTTGCGTCGATCTTGAGATGTTTAAGTTGTCGTTTAGCGCGTACGCGCCTGAAAGCACATTGTATGATGATGGCAGCATTACGCGCACGTCGGAATTTCTTTCTCTGCAGCCAGCCACGGACATGTTTCTGGATAATCATTGCCTTGTGGTGCAACATGAACTGAAAAGTAGTGCAAGTTGTCAATGCCAAGCAAATTATATTTAACAAAATCTCAACAATATGGCTAAACTTTAGAAGTCATTAAAGCTTTTTACACACCTCCCTGAAGATACGTCGCGTGTACATGCCTCTTGTGTAGGCCTGTATAGTGACCACGGCCCTTCTCACTCTCAAAAACGCCCGTCGCTCTCTGACCATACGATATCGTTTCTGGCAGATGATGGCAGCACGCGTGAGGCGCAGGTATTCTGCATATCTAAACAACACAAGAGTGTGTTAAGAGTGGAATCATAGAAGTACTTTAATGAAAAAAGTATTCTGTCCATGAACTTACCGTCGAGCCAAGTATCCTCGCCCGAATCTCTGAAGGAGGATGGCAGATTTGCGGATCTTTCTGTACCGCACTCGCCCGAGCCACCCACGCACTGTCTTCTGGATCTTGATACATGCCGCGCGAAACTTGTCTGCTCTAAGTTTCTCCAGATAAGCCACTTGTCCCGCACGAAAGAAGATTTTACTCTTACCAAACTGAAACATGTCAGGCTCCTGGCAAGAGAAAATTGACATGTTAACAGTACTTGAAATAAGTCTTCTAAAACATTTCTAAGAAAGAGCTTAAAATTCTGTATAGGACTGTATTGGATTATGATATTCACGGGCCTGTACAAAGTTTTTTACCTTTTTAGTTTCACTTAAGTTTTATATGTGTGTGTGTGTGTGTGTGTGTCAGTAATTTACCTTTATTAAAGTCTCAAGGAGGTTTTTGCATGACACCTTTTTGTCTGCTACTGACAAGTCTGACTTTTTCATCAGAACTCTGTATCTGCTGAAGAAATCTGGGTATGTCCATCTGTTGATATAGAAAAAGCCACATTATATAACTGCAAGCGTTGTGTCAAATTAATATTTCAACTAAAACTCTGTATTTACTGTGCATCTTTTTAAAGCATCTAAACTTTCTGACTGTCAACAGCAAATTAAATAAATGTTTTCATGTCCCTTTATCTAATACTAATTTAATAACTTGTGAGACTTGGGGGAGTTAACAGTGATGAACAAATTGGATCACTGAAATGTACAGAGCTTTAAAAAAGTAAAAAAAAAAAAAAATTGGTTAAGCTTTCTCAAATCAGATATTATAATAACTAAGTATACAACAGTCAATATCAAATCTTATTTCTCTACTCTTGAAATACATAGAGCTCATGAATGGGGCTGTCAGGCGACTCACCGTGAGGGATATCCAGCAGCACTAATGCGAATCGTCTCCAAAACTCCACACGCCCTGAGCTGCTGCACAGCCCGCCGTGAGTCGAACCTGGACAATAACACAAAAATAGGAATGTAACAGTTTTAAAACCAACCAACAACAGTGAGTGTGGACACATACCTTATCTTTTTTCTTGGCATCGCACCCACACGCAACACACTCACAATGCATTCAGCTAGTAATGCTAGCTGTGACTGACTGTGACCTCAGAAAACATGTGACTCTGACCAATCACTTAACTTGACCAACTTCAGACTGGCCTTTGTATAAAATGTCTCTTCAGATTTCAGTACTACACACTCATCACAAGTCTATATTCTTATTCCTTCCAATTTTAAAATTAAATAAGGGGACAAATTAGGTAAAATAGTAAAGACATTTATGAGCTTTCAACTATGTTGTAACGCTGAGTAAGTGAATGATGAGAGAAACTTGTTATATTTAGTTACATGCATTGCCCTGCACTTGAGGCCTGAGTGCTCAGAAAATGTGAATATTCTCCTACACCTCATCTGCACCTACAGCTCTGTACTTGCTCCAAAATGTCAGCCTAAGGGTCAATGCTAATTTTAATTGATTAATTTAATTAAATTGATTCCTCAGTTAAGGTTAAGATGAGAGTTAAGTTTAGGAACAGATGTTTTGTTTAAAATAAGGGCTTTAATGGGGATCGGTTTAGGAACTGCCATTCACAAATATAAAAAACTTTAAGTAAAGAGATTTTAGGTGAACTAAATGCAATACAATGATCTACGTGTGTTATATTTAAATATCCACAAAACTAACAACTGTCTTGTGTGCCACCAGTGTTGAAATGCTATATGCTTTTGACATAAACAGAGAAGGACTTACGAGAATGCCTCTTTCAAGTCATTGGGTTTGATGCAGCGCACATAATGAGGGGTGGTGGCATTGAGCGTGTCCATCAAGAGGTGCAGCGAGCTACGAAACTAAACAAACAAAAAACAAATATATTAGTACAACAGCAAGGAGCAAGGACACATGTGGGTTAGCCTGGAACAGGGCAGACCTGGTGTCCAACTGTTTTCTTGTGTTCCCTGTTGGGGGCTTTTGGGGCGGTCTTTGCTGCTCGAACATTCACTCTGGATGACTTCGAGACAGGAGCGGCGTCTTTGTCATGGAATAAATCTGCCACAAGCTGAACCTAAATAAAAAAAACAACAACATAATTTTAGCTATTTTTAGATCAGATCAAACCTGCTCCCATTTACGTAATATGAAATTGGCCTAAATCATTTTAACAGCAAAGGCACAAAACCAAGTAGTAATTTAACCCTGAATTTATTAAGTAGCCTTTATCTTGAAACCTAAACATGACAAAATATATAGAAATAATATTAGGCACTCACTCCTTGAACCGTCACCTTATCGTGGTGGAGGGGTTTGAGTGCCTGAATGATCCCAAGAGCTATGCTGTCAGGGGCTTTATGCCCCTGGTAGGGTCACCCAAGGCAAACAGGTCCTGGCGGATGGGTCAGATGAAGAAAGGTTCAGAAGCCCCTTATGATGAGTGACATACGGAGGCCAGTTTCGTCACCCAGAATGGAGTTACCAGGGCCCCACCCTGGAGCCAGGTCTGGGGTGGGTGCTCGACGGCGAGTGTCTGGTGGCCTTCCCCCATGGGACCCGGCCGGGCACAGCCCGAACAAGCAATGTGGGGCCACCCTTAAGTGGGCTCACCACCTGCGAGAGGAGCCATATGGGGCTGGTGCGAAGAGATCTGGGCAGCAGTCAAAGGCGGGGCCCTCAACGACCAGATCTCCGGACATGGAGACTAGCTCTGGGGACATGGAATGTCACCTTGCTGGGGGGGAAGGAACCTGATCTTGTGCAGGAGGTTGAGCGTTACCGACTAGATATAGTTGGCCTCACCTCCACGCACAATTTGGGCTCTGGAACCCAACTCCTTGAGAGGGGCTGGACTCTTTATTTCTCTGGCACTGGCCGCGGGAAGCGGCAGCGGGCTGGTGTGGGCCTGCTCATTGCCCCACAGCTCAGCTGCCGTGTGCTGGAGTGTCTTGGACACTCAGATGAAGAGGGGTGCTGAGCAGTCAACTGATCACCACCTGGTTGTGAGTTGGGTTCGCTGACAGAGGAGGAAGCCGGAAAAACCTGGAAGGCCCAAGCGTGTAGTGAGGGTCTGTTGGGAACGTCTGGCGGAGCCCTCTGTCAGAGGGACTTTCAACTCGCACCTCCGGGAGGGCTTCTCACAGTTTCTGGGGGAGGCTGGGGACATGGAGTCCAAGTGGGATTCGTTCTCGGGCTCTATTGTCAATGCAGCCACTCATAGCTGTGGCCATAAAGTCTGTGGTGCCTGTTGCGGCAGCAATCCCCGAACCTGGTGGTGGACACCGGAAGTAAGCGATGCCGTCAGGCTGAAGAAGGAGTCCTATCGGGCCTTGTTGGCTCGTGGGACTCCTGAGGCAGCTGATGGGTACCGGTGGGACAGGCGTGCTGCAGCTCGTGCGGTTGCTGAGGCAAAAACTCAGAGCTGGGAGGAGTTCGAGGAGGCCATGGAGGAGGACTATCAGATGGCTTCAAAGAGATTCTGGCAAACCGTCCGGTATCTTAGGAGGGGGAAGCAGTTCTTCACCAACACTGTTTACATTGCGGGGGGAGAGCTGTTGACATCGTCTGGGGACGTTGTCCGGCGGTGGAAGGAATACTTTGAGGATCTCCTCAATGCCACCGTCACGTCTTCCGAGGAGGAAGCAGAGGCTGGGGACTCGGAGGTGGACTCATCCATCATCCTGGCTGAAGTTACTGAAGTGGTTGGCAAGCTCCTTGGTGGCAAGGCTCCAGGGGTGGATGAGATCCATCCTGAGTATCTTAAGTCTCTGGATATTGTGGGGATGTCTTGGCTGACACGCCTCTTCAACATCGCGTGGCGATCGGGGACGGTACCCTTGGACTGGCAAACCGGGGTGGTGGTCCCTCTGTATAAGAAGGGGGACCAGAGGGTGTGTTCCAACTACAGGGGAATCACACTTCTCAGCCTTCCCGATAAGGTCTATGCCAGGGTACTGGACAGGAGAATCCGGCCGATAGTCAAACCTCGGATCCAGGAGGAGCAGTGTGGTTTTCGTCCTGGCCGTGGAACACTGGACCAGCTCTACACTCTCCATCGGGTGCTTGAGGGTTCATGGAGTTTGCCCAACCAGTCCACATGTGCTTTGTGGATCTGGAGAAGGCATTTGACCGTGTCCCTCGTGGTGTCCTGTGGGGGGTGCTCTGGGAGTATGGAGTCCGGGGCCCTTTGCTAAGGGCTGTCCGGTCCCTGTATGACCGGAGCAGGAGCTTTGTTCGCATTGCCGGCAGTAAGTCAGACCTGTTCCTGTTGCATGTTGGACTCCGCCAGGGCTGCCCTTTGTCACCGGTTCTGTTCATTGTATTTATGGACAGAATTTCTAGGCGCAGTCAGGGGCCGGAGGGGGTCCGGTTTGGGGACCACAGGATCTCATCTCTGCTGTTCGCAGATGATGTTGTCTTGTTGACTCCATCAAACCAGGACCTGCAATGTGCACTGGGGCGATTTGCAGCCGAGTGTGAAGCAGCTGGGATGAGGATCAGCTCTTCCAAGTCCATGGCAATGGTTCTCGACAGGAAAAAAGTGGCTTGTCCTCTCCAGGTGGGTGGAGAGTCCTTGCCTGAAGTGGAGGAGTTCAAGTATCTAGGGCTCTTGTTCACAAGTGAGGGGAGAACAAGGCAAGATTGCTAGACGAATCGGTGCAGCGTCTGCAGTAATGCGGTTGCTGTATCAGACCGTTGTGTTGAAGAGGGGGCTGAGTCGAAAGGCGAAGCTCTCAATTTACCGGTCAGTCTTCGTTCTTACTCTCACCTATGGTCATGAGCTCTGGGTAATGACCGAAAGGACGAGATCGCGGATACAAGCACTTGAAATGAGTTTCCTCCGCAGGGTGGCTGGGCGCTCCCTTAGAGATAGGGTGAGGAGCTCAGTCACACAGGAGGAGCTCGGAGTAGAGCCTCCCTCGGGAGGTGTTCCGGGCATGTCCCACCGGGAGGACATGCTGGAGGGACTATGTCTCTCAGCTGGCCTGGGAATGCCTAGGTCTTCCCCCGGAGGAGCTGGAGGACATGTCTGGGGTGAAGGAAGTCTGGGAGTCCCTGCTTAGACTGCTGCCCCCGCGACCCGGCCCCGAGTAAGTGGAAGAAAATGGATGGTTGGATGGATAATATTAGGTACAAAGAAGATGTGGTAGACATAACTCAGATTAAGATGACCCATATGTCTTAACAGAGGCCACTTGTACTTTGACATCCCCATTAAGTTTCATTACTGTTACACCAGATAATAAACTAAGCTGGAGAAGGTCATGTAAGCCTTAGCCTATTTTGAGCAATAATAATTAAGCAATGAGAGCGTGAGAGTGTGATTACAGCCTCTGTTTGATCTCTGTGTAATGCTGATAATCTCATCTTAAAAAAACTTCATTGACAGTCAAGCATACAAGTAAAATATTTACTAAAGAAAAATACAAATAGCATTGTTATGTTGTTTTTGGAGTGTGGTCTTACCTCACTGGCTTTGAGAATGTTTATCTGCTCCTCATAGACAGTATCTCTGTTTTTTTCCAGAAATCCCTCACACTGATACTCAACCTAGAAACCGATAAAACATAATTGAAAACAATACATTTATTACATTTTCATCTGTAAAGTGAAATGGATTGAGCCATTATAAAAGAGTGGATATACAGATCTACATTAAATCTAAATAATCTGTTATAGATCAAAGTACAGTGCTGTCTACAGTTAAGTGTTGTGAATCTATAATACAATAACATAATGACATGAAACCCATTTATGGAGCAGAGGTTTTGTATTTAACCAGGACACACTCCTTTATACAGAAAAATGCATGAACCCCCGAGGCCATGAGAACTGAACTAAGACTGCATTGAATGAGTTAATACAATGATGTAAGAACAGTGTCAGTCTGCTTGTGTCAGTCAAATAGTGTGATGGATATGTAAATAAATTATATTGAATTGAATTATAATTATAATTATAAGGAGCCAATGTATGAGTTTCAGAATGATATACGACTGTACGACTGTTGCCACAGCAATTAACAATTTAAAACAAAATATGTAACTGCATTTAACAACCATTTTAGCATCATATGGATGTTACTGGCCATTATCTTAACTATCATCAGTACCATTATTAAAACTATCATATGTAAATAATCACTAACATTCCAATTAGTTAGCAATTAATATTTGGTTCCAAACCACTTTAAGAGGATTTTTATCACCTTGTCGGCAAAGTGTATGATGATGAAGGAGATATTGGACATGCGTGGTTTCTGAAAATGAGCACTGTTGTTGTGTTGTTTGTACAACTTCTGAGCCCAATTTTGGTCTGTTCCCTTCGGCACCTGAAGAAAACACAAAGAGCAAAATGTTTTGTTTTTATTCAGGTTAAGAGCATTGAGAAATGCAAATACAAACCCTAAAGATTACTGCTAGTGACTTCAAAGTGGATGGAAGATGTGAAAATAAATCTACCAACTAAACAATCATGATGTATGGCAGGTAAACAAGGTCATTGTTGATTATCTGGAACTATACAATGAAGTTACATATGTTATTCCCCCTACTTTGCATTCTTCATCCAGCAGATCCAAGATACCCAGTTTTGCTTCAATCAGATCAATGCAAGGCTGGTTATCATAAAAATCTATCAACGTCCAAGGGATCAGCTCCTTCATGTACTCCTCCTGCTCCAACTTGAACACGTGCTACAGGGACACAAAATTATTAAGTATGCTTTAATTTTCAACTCACTTAAAACTCATTCCTGACTTAAATTTTATACTTACTGAGTTGAATTGTTGTTGGAGTTTTTCATTGGCATAATTGATGCAGAACTGCTCGAAACTGTTCACTTCAAATGTTTCAAAGCTGTCAGGGAATATATAGGAATAGTCATAAGCTTCATGTGATCACAAATTGGTTCATAATACACTTTTGTACACACCCATAAATGTCCAGGACACCGATGAAGGAGTGCTGTTTAGAGGATGTCTGCAGGGATTTGTTGATATGCTCCACGATCCAGTCGAACATGCGTGCATAGATGTGTTTCGACAGGGCATCCCGGGCATTGACAGCCTGTTTCAAGGACATGGTCTTCACGTACGTCTCTGACGCTGTGACCAACTTCCGGTGACAGAGCCAGTGCTCCATCTGCTGCTGCTCCACCCCGAGAAGTCTGCAGAAATGTTTCAGGTGCGGGTCATCTTTCTGGAAAAGAAACACCATCAACACAAATGTGGGTAAAATTATAACGTAGCAATTGTACTTTAAGGGGCATTGTTTTGTGGTGAAGGCAATGCCTTCTGCTTGTAGATGTTATTGCTGGGCCAAGAATGTTTCATAGTATTGAGGTAAGCTAATATCTCCATGAAGACAAGTAGGCAGTGCCAACAGCACAAGCTACATGTCACAGCTGTAGAGAAACAAGCAACCCCACTCAAGAGATGTGTGCATTTCAAGGTATTTTTGTACAATATTAAAATCTGCTATGCTACATGGATGCATGGAAACAAGCAGAAGGCAGACCCTCAATTAGAAAAGCTCCATAGTGCAGCTATAAAATTAAAATGTACCAAGATGCGACAGGAGTCACCGTCCCTCTCTGAGCAGATCTCAATATTTCCTAGATGCAGGATTGATGCCATAATTTTAAAAATACCACTTTGAGAGCTCTCTTTTACACCTGTGAAAAAACAAGGTCAGTGTGTGTTTAATACAAGCAATATATGTATTAACAATTAACCATGTATTTACACCTAACACTAAGAAGAATTGTTAATTTTACCCAATAGTGTAAATGCTTCTCTTGTCTTTTTAAAATCTTCTGCATCATCAACCCCTTCAATGAAAATATTTTCCCCTAATGAAGTGTAGGTGAAGTCTTCTGCACTCCCTGAAGAACACACATCATTTTGCTGAATAATTTAAAACAGAAAAAACATGGGTAAAATAATACTGTATAATATTGAACTGCAAACTCACCAAGTCCTAGATCTTTGAATTCCGGTAAACTGGAGGAGGCACACAGCTGGTAGAAAATGTGGTAATTTCTCTCATCCTCTGCCTACAACACAAAATATAATGAAATCTAAATCACAAAACTGGCCTGTCACACATTTTAGCTTGTTTTACTTTCATGATTATATTTTTACCTGAAAGACCACTCGAGACTTCTCAAGCAGATATGTTCGCATATTAGCCCCAATTATATGGTAATGTTTGCTGAAACCAATCTGAATGTATTTTCCAAAACGACTGCTGTTGTCATTTCGAGTCGTTTTTGCATTTCCAATAGCCTGAATTTAAAAACATACAACTGAGCTACTTCTTATAACACATTAGTTTATGTTTATATTTATGTATTATTTAACTATAGATTTGAATTCTCACCTCCATGATTGGACTGGAAGCCATCACTTTCTCCTCAACATTTGTGTCACTGGCCGACCCCCCAACAGTGGCAAAGTACCTCATGGCGTACTTAGCAGAGACAGTTTTTCCAGCTCCAGACTCACCACTCACTATAATGGACTGGTTCCTCTCATCTCTGTAAATGTACACAAGAGGAAGATAGTGTTTAGTACAATCATTGAGGTCAAATCACATATTACTTCATGTTCAATATTTAAACAAGAGGAACACTGCATGGCAAAATAAGGAAACTAAATGTGCATATTAGGCTTAGTGCATGGGTTGCGTTCACATTCTACATTCTACATCTGATGATAATAGGGATTTACTTTTACTTTTTTTACTTTTTGAAAGAAATATCCACATTCTTATTGCTAGTATTATTATTTCACTTTTTTTCCTTTCTGTTCTCCATTCAATTCAATAAAAAAAAAGTTGGGGAAAAAAAAAAAGAAATATTCAGATTCAGTATTGAGCTATAGGCCTTCTACAATGTTCTGATCTCATCTATGACTCCAAGCTGAGTTGTGATGCGTAGGCTGCACTGTAATTAGAGTTTGGCTGATTAACCGTTTCCAACTGTTATAAAGAGAAGAGGGATGTGCTTGTGTCATGGTGAGGACATGAGCATGGCAATTATCAACCTACATCCCAAATAACAGTCACTTTCAAAAGTGGTTAGTATCAGTAAAACAAGTGAATTATTTTTAACATATTTGGCCATACTTGACATAAATTTAGGGTAATTATAACATGATATAGTTTAAAAATCTGTTGTTTCAACCTGGCCATTTGCTTGTATGCCTCTTCAGCTACTGCAAATATATGTGGGTCCATGTCGCCCATGTTTTGGCCACTATAGGCATCGATGACCTCCTCTCCATAAATGTGAAGCTGCTCATACGGGTTTATAGCAACAAGCACAATTCCTGTAAACGATAAAAATGTTTTAGGATTCATTTTGGGTAATAAAGGTAATTTTGTAATTACACACTTACCACAGTACGTGTAGATGTGGTTGGACTCAAGGAAGCGCACTCGCAGGTTGTGCAGGACTGCCGGCTCATGCAGGTAGCTGAGAGCCGTGAGGTCATTCTCTCCGACCAGGATGTCTGGGTTACGCAGGAACGGGAGGGGGGTTTTGGGGGGATTAACAGCATACTCCAGTGGCTAAGAAAGACAGAGCAACAAAATATCAGCATGAACTGATAATCTAAACAGTAAATCTTGTGGTCAGACCGTTTCATCCTCTAGTTTGAGGTGCAGAATGGTGTCTCCTTCTTTGAAGTCTTTTGTGATCTCTGCGGCCTTCCACACCTCGTCTGGGTCTGGGATCCATACCCGAGTATACTGCAGCAAGCAAATATAAGATACAATTAGGCACTGAAAACATCACCCTCAGGTAATGATGGCACAGAGGTGGTTTCTTTTATTGTTATGTTATGTGAACACCCACAAAACAGATTTTTTTTTTTCAATCTCTGAGCTAAGTATAAAAGTACTGACGTAATGTCAGTGCCTTGTGTTGAATTCATGCAAATTGGCTTCATTGGACCTCGAATCATTTGCATAGTAGTCATAGCACACATACTCACTGTTCACCTTAGATGGGAAATACCGGAAGTCACATGACACGAATGTGGACAACCTAAGACATGCTAAATTTGCATTTATGTCTGTACTTGCGTAACAAAGTTCTAACTGAAATATTAATGAGCACAATATGATTGTAAGTTGCTCAAAAATGTAAATAATATACCTCTCCCACCTGCAAAACACATGCTTGAGTTGGGTGAGCTAAACTGCATCTTTGGAATGAATTGTTCTGCGTGCAGCTCCAGTGAAGCCCAAACACACATAGGAGGATGAATTAATGAGAGAATAAATACACTGGACACACTGATAGTGATGTGGTTTAGCTGTGACGTTAGCAGGCACAAAGGCAGACCTGATGTAATACAGAAACTGGACTTTGTCTGTGAGGGTTGGGCATACGCCTGTTGTGTTCATGAGAGGTTACAGCAGAGCACTAAGTTCTACTTAATATCATCGTGGAACGAGTTTGTACATAAAAATACCAGGCATTTCTGTCAATGAATGGAAAACTGCATCAATGGGGGTCCCCACGGCTCTTGTGTGTTTATCTGGGACACTACTATGAGCGGTTCAATGGCTGCATATGGCTTAATATAGAGCATCTCAGGAAACACAATCAGGCTGAAAATAGGACAAACTGAAAGGCCGTCACCACAGAGTGTACTCAAATCAGTTTTGTGAGTTTTAAGTTTGATGTTATGTGCTTTTGAGGGAAAGCAAAATTATGACAAGGCCAAATGCTAAACAGCTCAAATTTGACCTAAATTTATGAAAAAATGTTTTTTATATCTACATTGTGCAAATATTACACCAATTTGAACTGAGTGTTTTCTTGCCCACAGTTGTCTTAATGGCAGTAACACAAACTCCAGATCAGCAGGAACCTGCCTGGTCCAGATCAGGGAGCACAACAGGTACAACAGGTTTAGTATGAAACCAGTGCCGGTGAATTGGTGCTACTTAGAAACTGTGAATCTCTCTCAAATAACAGCTTGTTTCATGTATTAAATGTTCATTTGTGGATCATGTCTGTTGTTTTGTAGTAACACTACAGGTAGTTGCTAAACACAAGTAGAAATTTGAAAGATGTGCTTTTTCAGTGAGTCTGCCAGTTACAAGGAGAAACTGTATCATTTGTCTCGAGTGTCCTCTTTGCTCCTCACTAAAAACACAGTAAGCTGCTTCGGTCAGGTGTTGAGTTCACCTCACAACAAGGCCCCACCCCCTCATGTGTGTGCACAGTGGGCTCTGACACAGGCCAAAACTGGGTGTGTCAACACACAGGAAGTACGGCCTCTCCAGGAACTTTGATCTGTCTCACTGTTTTACACCAGCTCCGTCAGAGAAACCCTTGAAGAGGGATAGGCAGACTGGTCTTCTGACCACTAAAAATAACACCTCTTATGTTTTTAAGTGATGTGGCATTAAAAACATGCTTGTAAATACACACACTTAAATCCAATATTCAAATGAGTAATCACTTTTCAAAGCTATTTTCCCACAGCCTATAGCCAGTGTGCTCGATGTGATGTGTCCTCTGAGACCTCTATGGGTCCTACATGAACACAGCAGCAGCACCTCCCAACAATAGACAGACCATGTTTGTTGCAGCTCAGATTACAGCTGCACTATCACAAAAAAACAACATTTCTATTGATATTTGAAATCCACAATAAGAATAATCGTGGCATTGTGCAAATGTAACATGGTGTTAGATTAGAGTCTTATCTTTGCAGTACAAAGTGAAAACGGTTATGGACAGATATTGGATAGTGTATAACCATTAAAATCAGGTTCACTCAATGTTTACAATAGGCTGCTAAAACTCTAATTACTGAACTTTTTTGTATCATAATCACATAATCATGAGGCTGTATATTTTTTGCACTAGCATATGAACCACAAATAATCAATATGTATCCAGTAAAGAACAAGACAAAGAACTGACAGCCTTGACCAGCACAGAGAGGCTCAGGCTAATCCTAAACACAAAGTCTGTCTCAGTCTAGTGACATGTTCAAAACATGATGTCATTTTAACTTCATGATCAACGGCAAAGAAAACAACACAGACAAAAGTGCATCTCTAACACATGCCAACACCTTGGACCAAACAGGCTCAGACTGACTCTATATAAGCAGATGGAGATGCAGGGGATTATTTGGTGGTAGCAGGCAGCAGGTGGCCCTACTTACTGCATCCAAGTCCACTTTTGTGTCTTCTGGATTATAGAAGGCTTCAACTGTAAACATGCACTGACATAACCATATTGCTGTTGAATTATTGATCACTATTCCTTTCCTGAGCAATACATTTTTAATCTTTTTATAATTTAACACTAAACATTCAAATTTCTAACTCCTAATTCTGCTCTAAACCACAAGCTTTTCTGACAGACTGGCTCTAGACCTCTTAATTAAAAAGATGAGCATTAACAATAAGAACTGATTGAAGGTCGATTCAAATTTGATTAATTGCTCGGCCATATGTGAATTTTTAAATTAGCAAATAAATGACAATGTATTAGAGTTTCACATATAATCAATTGAATTTATGGAAACATTTTGCATTGGTAGATTAGGCAGACTATGAAAACGAACACCACACCACAAATCAGGGCTGAGTGATACTGGAAAAAATGAGCACACTTCTTTTTTGTTTGCATTATCTTAGTAACAGTATTCAGATAATACTATGAATGGACTGTTCTACACTTAAAGTTTTTGCTCTTTTTTTTTTTTCATCAGCTTTTTGAAGCCTTTTCAATTTGTTTTTACTGTAGACCATGAATATACCTAATTATGATTTTCCATAACTCTAAAATAATAGCAATACCGTTTTCCGGTACATCTCTCACCTCTAACAAATACACAGTACATATACATACCATAAAAACTGTTCAAATATTTCTCTCATATATAATTTTGCCTGAACTACCACTGTACACTTAGGGCTATTAAACACACATAGATTTTCTGGTTTGGCATTTAAACTATAGGCTACTTCCTCAATATGACCTGGCTAGTAGGTATGTAAGGCTTGGCGCAATTTTTTTTGCTCACAGCTGATTAAGCCTAAAGTTTTGGTGTATACTTTTCCTTTGCTTGTGGTTACAAATGAAATACTGGAAGATCCCAAATGGTGTGGCAGACTTAAGTGTCTCATTTTGGAAAGACTTTTGCATATTCCTATTGTGACTGTTGTGATGGTAAAAAAAAACAAAAAAAAACAACTATATGATGAGATACCCAAGCAGCAATTCTACTACCATTTGGCTAGTGTCAAAACAAACTGCCAAGTTTTATTAATACCTTTTGACAACAACATTATTAAGGCTTAATTCAAGAGGCAATGGCAGGACAATGTCCTTCAAACACACACCACATAAATCTGGCTCAATGGTTTTATCACCAGAAAAGAGTGAACGGTAAAAGGGCATGCTGGCTTACATATTCAAAAATTAACTACTAGCTGATTCTGACCTGGTCATAAAGAAAAATAAATCTGATTCAAAGTGTAGGTAGATAAACTGGTGCCAGATTTATAGTGTGACAAACCTCAGTAATCACCACACCACTACTACACTTCTTACTTGATTAAATATTTATATTTACTGAAGTTTAAAATGCTTAGAGAGCTCTTGTTACAGTCTGGCAGAGAAAGACTACGTCACCTGGCCAGTAGGGAACAGGTGAATCACTCTGAAGGATCACTGTATTTGATAGGTAGTATGTTCCAAATAAACTCAAATATACATATATGAGTCTAATTCATATTGATTGATTAATAAGATTTAAAACATATCCCAACCACTGACTATCCCAAAGGATTAGCGTGAACTAACAATGATCAACAGCCCCTCTCTTTCCCTCTCTCTATGAAATCCATGGACAATTAAAACAATATTATTTTGGGTTAAAGGAAAATGTATCCAAAGTGTAGGCACAGCTGTGGGTCTCTACTCACCTTTGTGTACAACTCGTGGACAGACATGCCCTGGTAGGATATGTCCCTCTTTAATGAAAATAAAAACTACAGAACTGTGGCAGACCGCATCATATTTTCAGTGTGATCACGCCTTTTACATGGTGTATAATAAGTTGTCCACCACAAGAACAGGTGTCCGTCCGGAGGAGTTTGTCAGATCTCTCTCTCTGTGCCCCTTTTCCTGGTGGCGGCAGGTGTTTTCCGATTATTAGGAGACGTCGTTGTTATTATTATTATTTTTTTTTGCGCAGGTAAGCCCAAAGGAAAGGAAAACTTGAAAAAAGTGCTTAATATCCCAGGAATGTGTTTCCAAATGTGAAATATAAAAGTATCCCACTTCCTGACAGGGCTATTATCCAGAGCCCGGTGAAGTGTGGCTTCCTGGGGCACGGCCAGGTTTGTCCTGCACACACGCGCTCCAACTGGCCTGAGAGAGAACTGCAGCGAGCAGAGCCAGGAGACAGGCTCAACAATAAATAACTAACATCAAACATGAAGGGGAAAGGCCAAAAATAAAAATAATCTAAAATAAAGGTGAAATGATACAAACAAATAAAAAACACATAATATTGTTGCTTGTTTCTATCATCTATATATATGTATATATATAGATGTGTATATATATATAGATGTGTGTGTATATATATATATATATTATATATATATATATATATATATATATAAATATATATATATATATATATATATATATATATATATATATATATATATATATTATATATATATATATATATATATATATATATATTCCATACTGTAAATGCTATTTGTTGCTCAACACATCACAGAAACCTTATTTCAGTCTTTTTGTTTTAAATCATATTTACATTTTTGGTACCACAGTGCCTAAATAAGTGATCGCCTCACGCATATTCATCACCTGACCTATCAAAACAGTTGAAACAGCTCATAATGCCACAGTTTTGCCTTATTGTAAACACCTTATAGGCAGAAGAGTGATGCCACTTCAGTGTCATTAAGCCCATTTCCCCTAATTTCACCACATGAAGATGGGCAATACATTTAAAGTAGAACGTGCTATTACTGCCTGGTTTTCTGTTTACATTTAATATTAAATTTGTTAATACTATTATGAAACCATCTATCATTAAATATTTTTGTAGACATTAAGTATTTTTAAAGTGCCAGTTATTTGGTTGTTGGAGCTAGAAAATACTTAACTCACTGGCACTCACTCATTAAGCCATAGTCACCCTACTTTACTTTGTAAAGCTGTATAGCTATAGAGCCTCATGTACACTTGAATAGTAATCCACTTATAATTTTGTCTTATTTTATAGAATTTATGGTAGGGATAATGGTTACAACTTAAGAATTTAACCAATAACATAACTCAATACCAGGTACATGATTTACAAAAAGCCTTTACCTTTGAATATGGATAGTAGTTGGTTGCCATCTTTTTGTATAAGTGGACGCTTTATGTAGTTTATCCAAGATAAGTCCGGAGCATGTTTCAGTCTTATGCCATATTCAGTTTGGTGTGGAGTGTGTTAACATACCTCAAACTTGTCTGAGTTAAAACCATTATTCTTACATCAGTGACTGAGTCCACTCCCAAACCACTCCTTGAGTTGGAATGAGTTAACCTGCCTGTGAAATTGATGTTGATCCACCCATGATAGACATTGTCTTTGTTACAACTAAATAGGTTTAAAAATACTCGACCTTAGTGACACTAAACACCGTCTTTACTTAGACGTCTGTAGTAGGTTGCTCATTTTTCTCTTTTGAATGTTGATGTGATGTAATGCTTACAACTCCCATTATAGCACCTATTGGCCAACATTTTCTCATAGTCTCTCAGAGCACCACAAAAACTGTTGCTGCATCAAGTAGTATTTACTTATGTTATTAGCATATCAACACTATGAATCAGAGGCTACTATCACTCTTTACCCTCAACTATTAGAATTGTGTGTTTCTCCATTGATATTTATTGACAGCATTCAACATTCCTATGTTTTTGCATAACATTTATTAAACAGATAGGTGTTTGGTCAGACCTCCAAGTTATTCTCTCTGACATCGGTGTGATGAAGCAGACTTAGCACCCTCAGTGCGTCTAAATGGGTGAGCCACAGTGGTGTGAGAGGACGGTCTGGACAGAATCTTCTCTTTCATCCTGTCGTACTCCTGCTGCACAGCCAGACCGTACTGAACCTCTCTCTCCTCCAGAGCCTTCTCATTTCGCCTCAGCTGCTGCTTGTGCTGCATCTGGGCCTGAAGGTCGGCCTGGTAGGCTCGGCATAACTCCTTATGTCTGCAGGCAAGAATATAATACAGTAAAATGCCTCTTGTAAACAAATTAGCATAATGTGAACTATTACCGTCTTTTCTCCTCCAGATCTAATAATTTTATTTCTTCTGTCATTTGGGTGAGTTCTTCCTTGTCTCTGGCCAGCTGATCCTGTTTCAGCTTGTTCAGTTCCACTGAAACACATGTCAGAGACATGTCAGATATAGATATAGATATATATATGTATATGTATATATGTATGTGTTTATATGTGTGTGTGTGTGTGTGTGTGTATATATATATATATATATATATATATATATATATATATATATATATATATATATATATATCATACATACTACTATATATGAAACATTGCTTTTGTCTTGTCTTACATTTGTGCTGTATTTGCAGACTGCGGGCCTCCAGTACATCTTTCATGAGTCTGTTCCTGGCATCTCTCTCCATTTCACTTTGTTTTTCACGTTTGGCCCAAGTTTCTCTCAGTTTTTCTTCAATGAGCTTCTCTGTCTCCTGCTCCAGTTGCTTCTGCTTCTCCAGCTCATCAGCCAAGAACTGTCTGTACCTCTGCTGCTCCTCATGCAACTCCATCTAGAGAAAATACAGAAATTTTTAATACAAGCTTGTTTTTACAATTAGTTAAATGTAACTCGCTAAAGCCATCTAGTGTTTTAAATTCAATACTGCTAGTGGTTTCCCCATCTAGTCAAAAGAAATTTGCCAGCTGAGTTTTAAGACATCCAGGTGTAATTCATTCATTCATTCATTCATTCATGGTCAAAGAAGAATGACAAATGATGATATTCTTTCCTTTTTTGAATCATAATTGATATATTGAAAAAAATACTTAAGTTATCAAATAAACATTTATTTTAATTTGAATTTATTGATGTTGACATTAATGGGTTTCAGAATGGTGAAAATTTACAGATGCCAGAGCAATTAACAATTTAAAACAAAATATGGTGGTGAAATGGTGAAACGCTCTCAAAATGTCTCCCATAAGAGGAAGCTGAAATTAATATGTTGCGAATTATAGTTAGGCCTTATTTGATTACTGATACAAACATTTCTGTCTTACTTTTCTTTGGACAGCCTCCTGTTTCTCATCTCTATCCTGGCTGAGAACCTGTTGGAGGATGCTCATATCCAGAGCCAGCTCCTCCTGCTGCTCCTTTGCGAGACGCTTCATCTTCATCCTGTAACTCTGGTCAAGCTGCCTCCTTCTCGTCTGTTGAGCTTTGAGCCTTTGGTGCTTCTCTCGTTGTTCTTGGAGCATTAGCATTTCTTTGTGTTTGCGCTGACAGATCAACACAATCATTTAGAATTCAGATATGCATAAATGTAGATAAAATTATGTGATAGATTAAATATATAATTAAACAGATAAAATAACATAAGAAGTGCTGCCACCCACCAGTAGCTGTGCTGCCTCCTCCTCTTTGAGCTCTTTTGCCTGTTGTTTTTGTTGCTCTGCAGCATCTATTTGAGCTCTCAGGTGAGTCAGGTACTCATTGGATTTCTGCTGTTGCCTTTCAATGCGTTCACTCTCTTTCTTCTCCTCTCTTTGACAAATGGTTTCCCACATCTCTGCAAACTGTCTGCCCTTCATCTGCTCCTCTTGCTGCTGCTCCTGCTTTGACCGCACCAGAGCCATACAGTCCAGACGGGCCTTCTCTTCTCTGCGCTTGGACAGGACAGTTCGGAGTTCCTCACACTGGTTTCTGTGAACACAACATGGATCCCTCAGTCTTCATATGCTCCATACACAAATGTTATTAATACATGAATTTGGACATTTACATAAAAAGCTGTTCCATTTTTTCAGAAACCATTTGCTGTCTTTTGGTCTCTCTTATATCCCTCAGAACTTTAGCTCTCGCTCGCATCTTGGTTTGTCTTTCCAGAGCGGTCTCCCTTCGCTCCTCTGTTTCTTTGAGGAGCTGTTGTTCTTCTGTCTCCAACATAATACGTAGCCTTAAAATAGTAAACATAAATATTAGGAATTTTAGTTTGACACATCAATGTGGATCTATGCTGTAGCAGTCAGACCTCGCTCTCCTCTCTTCAATGCTCAGCTCATACTGGTTAATAGCAGCCTTAACTTGTCTCTCTGTGGTGTTTCTGACATAGTTCCGATCTGAACTCTTGATCCATGAGTTTTTAATATCCCATGACCGCTGATACTTTGTGAACTCTGCAAAGTTTTCTCTCTCAGTCTCCTGTTTCTTTCTCTCCAGAGTCAGGTAATCTGGGGGCTTCAAGGAGGGGAATTTTGCCCTCTTTGGCAAAAGACAAAACAAAACACTTAACATTTAAGTACAATTATTTAATGCTGTGTTAGTTACCAGTTGAGGAGGGTACATACTCTACCTGCTTTTCTCCATGGAAAGGGTTAATGCTTGTTCCACAGTATTCATTAGGGTTTTTTATTGTTAAAAAATACCTTAAAAACAATGCATTCTTACCTTGAGCAGGAATGCTTTTTCACTGATCCGACCTAGCTTACTTATCTTCATGGAGTTAGACCATTTTAATACTATACTGTGGAACATTCCAGGGATCTCCATGCAGACAAACAGGTAGAGTACACACAAAGTTACATAGTACACCTTAAACAACCACAGGATGGAAGTAAAAGTAACACTACTTGGCAATCGCTACAGACCTATTAAGTCCTATTTTTTTAGGCTTCTATTATTAGTTTCACAGAACAAACACAGCCAGACACAACCATAGTTTGGGCTATAGTTTATAGTTAAATTTTTCAGCAACCTTGTGGAATATTTATGTATAAACAAACAACATTAACATTACCTACAATATACGCGGCTAGCTATACAGGCCTCCCAAAGTCACTATTTGCCTTTAGCTTCAGATAAACAGCGCTAAAGTCCCTGAACGAAAGATAAGTCTTTTGTCTTACCACAGCCACAGAATGCGGAGTTGGGCCTCTGAATTCCCGGCATCTGGCTTTATGAGTAACAATCATTTTGATGATAAATATTAAAATGGCCCTAAAGTGTGATTGAAATGCCTTTGTAATAAACTACATCGCCATGCAAATACAGTAGCTGAATTACCATGGCAACGGTAAACACACGTTGAGCCGGGCGAGCAAAAGGGGGCAGGTTTAAGTGTCATTATCACGACAACATAGCTATTTGTGGTTTGGTCATAAAATAATAAGAAATACGGTGAAGACAAAAGAAAAGTTATATTTTCCTGCACTAAACGGTGTTGTTTTTATTTACATTTTTTCTATAGCCTACAGCAAAACAGCGTCATCTACTGGTAGTCTACTGGTAAAGTGAACTCTAGAGATAGCCTTTATCCACTTTATCTGTCCAGATCACATTATGTGCACATTATTACAATAAAAGAGGAAGTGTTTCAGTGTGTTAATTCAGAAGAAGATGAGAAATGCATTAGCTGTTTTGTAATATTGGTGAGTGACTCATATTATCGGAAATCTGCATTTCATTTACATTCGATTGTGGGTTTCATAGTTTGTTCTCAAGTACAATGCCAGCTCATTGTCATCATTAAGAAATGACTACATGACAACAGTTACTGTAAAAATATAACATATTTTGTCAAAAATGCATAGTTTTAGGGTGAACATGGTAAAACAATATACGTTGATACACATGACATATTGTCTGCATTATTTTCAGTAAAGTCTTGAGGCTGATAATTGTTTGAGACCTCTTCTTCAAAATCCTGAAATTTAGTTTCCAACTCAGTTTGGGTATTGTTCCCCAGAAATACCAAATTGTATACTGGGTTAGGAAACATACTTACTTTTGAACATATGGTGCTAGAAGCTGGGGGTAAAATAACTTCACAGGGTATGTATTTTTTAAGAGTTTGATTTTGTGCTAAAATTGTGCTGTAACTAGTGCACTTGTCCTGCAGGATGTAATCGTCCTTATATGATGGATATTTACAGCGAAGCTCTGGGACGGCCATGATGAGCTCTTCACTGGGACAATATAGTGCCACACGCTGATGACAAAATGAACAGACACAGAAAACAATAGTCAAGCAACAATACTGGCAAAGTGGTGGACTAAAGTCCCATAATAATATAATTAAAGGTACACTTTATAAGTTGTCTGGCAGGGGTTCTGCTACTTGCTTGTCTCCATGAAAATGTTTAATGCTCTACTGTGAAACATTGTAGATAAAGAAATAACATCTCCATAGAGACTTGTGGGTAGTGGATGCACCATGGGAAAAGTTACACAATACACTTTTAGTGTGCAATAATTAATAATAATATAATTAAAAGTTTGGGCATTACTGAAATAAATTTTAAGCATAAAATTCCAAACATTGGTTCAAATGTAACATACACACCTGAGAAGGTAACCACTTTCCCGACAGCATTGGTTCAGGGATGGGGGGATATACTTTCTGTTTGATGCTGTAAAAATATAACATTAGATATTACATTTAGCTCTCTGCTTCATGTTCAAACTAATCTCAAGGAAAAAAAACATACCAAGCCCAGTGCCTGTAGCAAATCACAGTGATGACCAAAAGTAAAGCGGATGCCGTAAACAGAGAAATCAGGAAAGCACTGACCAAACTATCAGCTGAAAAACATTAATTATTGCTTAGTTTAAAGGTCCTATAATATGCAAAATTTACTCTTGTGAGCTTTAAGCCATGTTAGCACATTGTTATCTCATCAAATGTACCTGGAATTGTGTTTTGTTTCATTCACACATGACTAATCCTTTATTATTAGTCTGTCTACATCTTCAAAGCTCAAAATGCTCTGTTCTTGCAGTGTTCATGTAGTGGTAGTTTTCATGTTAACAGCTTCCTTTTATCTTTTGTTCAGTAGAGACTGGCAATAACAGGTCTGAAACCATCCAAATTATTCTAATGAAGGTGTATGCACAGTGGAGCACTTTCTGTATAACGGTATGACATCACAAGGTGAAAACAAGTATTTGTTTGAGAGAAAAACTCAGCCTAAATATGGAGGGTTTGTGTGTTAAAAATATATGAATGAAGCAAAACCCAACTACAGGTATACTGTATTTGTGATGAGGACACAACATTATAACATAGAGGAGAAAATCGTGTATTATGGGTCCTTTAATATAATGTAATATTATAGTGAATGATACGTACAATGTGAATTTAAGGTAGCGCGTAAAGTTGTCAGACCACATTCTCCAACTGCAGTCAGCGCATAGACAGAAAATGCATATGTACCAATAGTGAGATTTCTTGCAGTCAGACTAGTGGCCTCAGGATCAGCTGTACAGAGTATTTTGAGCACGTTTCAAAGTTTGCTGAAATGTTGTTTGTCAAAATTTTTTGATTTATTAATACCTGTGCGGATCTTAATGGCTGAACTTTCTTTTGTGCAATGCAGGACATAGCCTTCAATAAAAGCACTCTGTTCTTTTAAGTTGATTTTGTCCCATGATATTTTCACATCTGATGCATGCTGCTCCCACCTCAAGTTTTTAAACAGGTCATCTGGTATCCCTGATAAAACATGACATAAGTTAGAGACTAACACATCTGAAAATAATCAACATTAAACCTCAGCATACTTTGTTCCCTCACATATCCTTCTTTCACGTTGAGCAGCACCGGAGCATCCACTGTGCAGATGAATATTGATACTTTGTATCTAACACCATCTTTTAAGTTCTCTGTAATGGTAAAAAAAAATATATATATATGGTGACTATTTGTATACATGTATAACAAAATATATAACAGGGGTGTCCAAACAGTACCCAGGGTTAAAGCCTGAGAGCTTTTTGGTGAATTGAACCAATTATCATGAATAATACTTTTGATTGCAAATTTAAATTATAACCTCAATATGAAACATTTTAGTGTGATATAGGCAGTCTACAAGTTTACAGCCCATGACAAAATTAGACATCCCCGATAGACCTTTTTAGAGAAGCATACTTGAGTATATGGTGGCACTGGTTTTACTAGGTGGCACTTTGAGCCAGTCCAGATTACAGGCTCCAGACACGGGACACCAATCCAAAATGTACCCACAGCTTGCATTGGGACTAGCTGCCCACGACAACCTAAAGCCACCTTCAATGCCACTAACCCGCGTAGTGTTGCATTTTGGTGTAGCTACGAACAACACAAAACACCATTCATTATCAAGTTACAACAATGCCACATAAAAAATACAGAAAATATCATACCTTGAGCTTGACTGGGAATAATAATTTGTGAGGGGACAGAGCTTCCACATGCATTTCTGACAATCACGTGGATAATGTACTTTTTAAATGAGTTGAGGTTTAGTGCAACGCTGTGATTGGGATGAACAATGCGCCGTGTATTCATTTGTTCTTTCGCCACTGAGTCTGTCCACATCACTTCATAGTCTATAATGTGACCATGGCTTTGGTGGTCTTCAAGCAACTACAAATGTGAGCACGCATTAGACAAGGTTATTCTTTAAAAACCTCAATGTAAAACATTGCTGTTTTTAAACTTACTTTCCATAAGATAAGAGTTTGGTTGCCTTCTTTGTGCATCCACACATCTAGAGCATCAGGAACTGTGGGACAAATATAACTGATATTTTACCCCCGAAAAAACACATATTATCATGTATGTATTAAATAGGGAGTGAGTGTCTTGTTGTAAGTTTGAAGCATAATTGATATAACATTGGCTAATGATGACTAAAAAATATTATATATTTAAATGTCATAAAGACATATATGAATGCGTGTTTGCAAAATATAACATTAACAGCATCCATGCTCACCGTCTCCTTTTGTGGAAAATGAAGTTTGTTGGCTCCAGTCGCCCCATTTCCAAAAATCTGACATTGTTGCACATCGCACCATTACAGTGTAAGTCCAATTAGGTGTCAGGTCATTTAACACAACTGATGTAAGGCCAGTGCCATTCTTTTCATGTTTCAAAGAAAGAAATGTAAAAATGTGTAGAGAACTTATTTTTTCAATGTAGAAAATGTAGAAACGTACTTGGATTTTGGTTTCTCTATTAGTGATATTTATTTGACAAGTCAGATTCAGTAGTTTGTACCTCTGGACAGTCCAAAACCATCTTACACTTGCATTTCTTGCATAGAGAGGGGATATCGTCACATTCTGTGGTGCATACATGTACACTGAAAGGTAATTATATTTAATTTTAATTTTAATGAAGTTTAAAATATGTCTTCATATTGTAAATATAAAGCTTTTTAGAGATGATACCTCTCTTTGTTAGATCAGCTTCATAATTAAGTTCAATGGTGCCAAGAACATTACTTGCAGTTAATGTCCAGTTCCTCTCGCCACAGTCTACTTCAACTTTCTGTGAACATTTGCCATTAGTCGGACATGATCTGAAAAGTAAATACCAAGAAATGTTGAGACAATTATGTTCAGAAATAATATTAAACAAATATTAACTAACTAGACACATAACTGTTCAAGCAGCCTGTAGTTAGTAGTCAGTCTTTTGAAGACTTGGAGGCCAACTCTCCAAAAACATTCAATGGACAGGAAATCTCGAGTTTCACATGTAAGGTTACTGTCAATAGGTCGGTCTAAAACAATGATTTGTTGTTTAGATTTTTATTTCTTTTTCTTTTACTCAAATTTATGACAATATACTCACAGCCAATGACTGCAGATGCTCCAGTCTCATCCGTGTATGTTTTACATATGACATCAGCATCAGACATTAGAGTGGGCTGCAGCAGCTCCATGGTCAGGGCGTATGTGTGATAGTTAAGCATTGAGGTGTTGAAAGGGGCTTCATAGTTACCTAGAGACATTTCCCTGAATGTTTCCCCCACTGGGATAATGCAGCAGAAACTGGCTCTACTTCCCACCTCAAATATATGGTCCTGAGGAAACACCTGTATCTCATCTGAGGGCTTCTGACCTGAACAAAAAATGGGCAGACACTGGTTAAGGGGAATTCTGGCTTAGTGACTCCTTCTCCTGATGGTTTAAACTGCCATAGTATTATCCAAAGGCAGGGCATCCTCCTTGAGTATGAGGTGGAGATTTTGAGCACAACTCACTATCACCAGATATTGCAACATGCAGGGGATTACCACTGAATGTGACTAAATGGAGTAATTCCTCTACCATAGCAAAACCTCTTAATAAAGCTAGATTAATAACCACTACGGCACTAGTTGAACAACTTATACACAATATATAATATCATAATGTATAATGTAATATCAAAAATATATATAATATATACTTTTTACCTGGCAGAATCTCAGTTGTCCACAGACTTGTTTGTTTTTTGCATCTGGACCTAATTTTGACAGAATGAGACGCACACTCAAGTGGTAAGAACGACCTCCAGCTCCACCAATGACTAGACCCCATGTGGTCAGCCATCACTGCAACCTCTTCCTAAACATTTAACCAACAGCATTTTAGCATTTGTTTGGGTTTCTTTTACAAGAAGATTCGTTGTGGCTCTTACATGGTGCACTTGTTTGTCTTCGACTAGCACTACCAGCTCATAGATCAGGTTTTTCTCACACAAACATGATGGGTGGCTGTCCCATGTGAGCTGAAGCTCCTGACTCACATTAGAAAGCTGCATATTCTGTGGTTCACAGTGCAGTGTGCCTGCATTAGGGCAAATCACAATAGTTTAGTAATTGTAATGGTATTTTTCATTTTAGTTTTAAGTTTTAATCTAAATAGGAAATGCATATTTGAACTATACACTGTGCTGCACTCACCGTGTTTGTCTCCTGTCCCAGGTTTGGCAAACATTAGAAAAACAAGTATTATCCCTCTAAGAAGTCCAATCATTGTCTTGGGGAAAACTCTCACAGCCACATTATTTGTTGAAATAAAGTTTAGCATTGCATACAGACGTCTTGAATGAAAACAGGTCCTTACGTGCAAAACTGTGTGAGAGAGATGTGAAGAGCAGACCTAGAAGCAGTTCCTTAGAAGGGGTAAGCTCTCTGTGTAGGCAATGATCAGTGGCTTAGAAATCCATTAGCCACAAAGTTATTATGAAATCCATGTTTGGATGAAGCAGGAAGTGTGTGTGTTTCTGGTAAGAGTGACTCATAGCTGAGCTCTTCCAGACAAGTGAATTGGACCATTTTAATGTGCCTGGACTGTTAAGATAATATTCATTACATATCATTAAAGGCTGTGCAGTTTTTTTTAGTTTTTTGTAGATTTGTTTGGTTTAAGTTTAGTTTCTAATCAATAATATCACAGTGGTTTGTTACATTATACTAAACTGAAACAGCAGCAAGAAAGCAAATACCAGCAGAAGCTGTGTCTGCCAGGAAAGGTCAGAAGTTCAGGAGTGCCTGCTTACACGCAAGCAAAATATATTCAGCATTAACAGGGAGATTGTGACAACTGCAAAACGTGTTACATAATTCAATTTAAAAAAAATAAAATATACACATAAAATATAATACATATTAGGGCTGGGCGATATGGATCAAAAAATATATCTCAATATATTTTGCTATATCTCGAAGAAAAAATAACCCCCTAAAACTGAAAACTGCAAAAACAAATCTGCCAAATTCCACAAGGTCTTTTTTTTTTTTTATTGAAGTGTCAGAGGTCAGCAGTTCATATAGGAACATTTAAGATTACAAAAAACCCTAAGTACATAAATAATAATTTAACTGTAAAATAAAAGAAATAATACATATTTCCTTCTTTTCATTCATAAATAAAACAACTCAACACAAGTTTATCTTTGCATTAACTCTGTTATCCAAACCAGAACCAGAACCATGAGCTCATTTAGCAGAAGAAGCTCAGGATGTTCCTTATTTCAATAGATCGATGTTATTATCCAGCAGTGAGGAGCTCTGAGGTTTAATCCCACAACCCACTGCAGATCAAACCCAACGTTTCCAAACAATATTGTACAAGTGACACTGCAGCAGATTATTAATTAAAATATTCTGCATAAATAAACTTTACATTGCTAAACTTTACAATATATAAAACATAACGACTCTAGAGCCACATCAGCTCGTTTGCGATGTTTAATGCAGTTTTGCTCACGTGTGTTTATATTTTACAGAAACGAAACTTAAGCGAATGGCTCATTTGCATAAACAGCGGACTTCTCACGCAGCTCAGCTCGTTTAGCTTCTTTCGGGCTAAAGGACGAGACTCGGTGGAATATGAGGATGTGCTGCTGATGGTTTTGTCTGTAAATGGTGGAAAAGGTTCGTGGTGCTTGAAGCTTTTCACTGGCACCAACTTTCGGTGTTCACGGCGATAGTGACGAGTGAAGGAGACACGAGCGAACAAAATCAGGGAGGCGGGGGCGCGGAGTCAAGAGAGAGAAGGTAAACAAGTGAAGCGGCGAAATCAGAATTTAATACAAGCTTTATATCGATATATACGATATGTCAGAATTCATATCGAGTTTAAAAACTATCTCGATATATTTAAAATATCGATATATCGCCCACCCCTAATACATGTATTTTAAAAATGATAATACTAAGACCTTTGATTTATTATCCTTTCTTTACACTGCACTGGGGTAGACAGACACGGCTGCCAATGTATGCAACTGTCATCATTAATTAACAAACAATCACTTGCCCACCCTAAATTCTGAAATTATTTTTTATTAGCAGTATATCCAATCAGTTCACTGATGTTAAAAATATAGATTTATCAAAAGTCTATAAAATAAACATCTGCTGCAACAGTTTAGAAAAGCAGTGAAGTATAAAACACTAGTAAATGTCCTGAATGTTAGCAGAGGAAAAAGAATAACGTGACAAACTACTTAGTAACAAGCTCTGTCATAAAAAGTTACCTGTTGATTCTTGACAGTTCCATACAGTATCAGTACTTGTTTCAGTGAATATTTGTTCCATCATATGAAGCTTGTGTTTTAAATCTTTTTAAATTAAAAAAGCTAAATGTTAAAGCCCCATTTCATAATACTGCAGTCAATGAATGAATTACATTTCATTACAGGTGTTTTTAATGCTCATGCATACCTTCACAAACATCCACAAAGCTGACTTCTAACTTGACCTGCTTGTCCCCATCAAGATCTTGTTTCTTTGTCAAGAAGGTTCCAATAAATATCCATGAAGAAAAGAAGGTAGTAGGCCCACCACCAAAAATGTTATGTAATCTTACATTATCTGTGACATTAAGGCACAAAACATTTGAAAATCACTTGAAAGGCTGAATTTGATATGGAGATCATATGCTTCTCTGTTATTACTTATATTTAACTTAAAATTGCTTTGTAAAAGGTCTTCATGTTTGGGACATGTGTTGTGTGACGTTGACTCAAGAATAAGTAAAATTATTATTATTCAGAACATGGGTTTTATGTCCTCTGCTGTGATGTGGACAGGACACTCTCAGCAGCTGCATACATCTGACAAAGAGGGCAAAAATTTGTAACTTTAAAAAAATTATAATAATAAATCAATCACTTAAAAATATCAGATTGTTTTCTCACAGGCACAAATGGCACATCTTGAAAGAGCTCCTGTATGAATCGGCGAGATGGCAGTCGGAATGTGCAGTGAGCAAGCAGGTGTGACACCTCTGAGTACAGACAGATGTCATCAAAGGCACATGGGAACTTCTCCTTTATCCTACAAAGACACATCAACAACATTCAGAAGATGACAGGGATGAACAGAAAATAATGATAATAGGATGCTTACGTTAAGAGGTTGGACTCATGGTTTTTGGTTCCCACAGATGAGCTGAGGTTTATAATTAGACGCAGAATCTCTTTCCTGTGGAGGACCCTACAGGCTGGAGTGTCTGTGGACATAGACTTTCCTCCATCTTAAGATCAACAAGTCCAAGTGAAATATTTAGTCTAGAGTACATGCAAGTTTGTTTGGAAAGAAGAATGCTATGCTAAGCACTTATACCTAAAACAATTTCTGTGCTATGTCCACTGCCAGTGGATCCATGGGAGAACCTATCACTGCAAATTGACTCTTCTGTCAGGTTGATTCGGGTCAAGGTGTCTATGTGGTTTGCTGGAGGTGGAGTGGCCCTCTCTGCAACAGAAGTCTCTTCAGATAGCTCTGAATAATACACTGAAAATTACACTTAACTTCAAACATTAATTTCAAATTCATAAAAAGTGTCCCACCTGGGTAACTGCGGCGAGAGTTAGAGCCAAGCTTGCAGAAGGCAGCACAATACAGACAATTGTTATCATTGTGTTCTTGGAGACCAGTGTCCTCTGAGCTCAGCATCTTAAGTGGGTCTGATAGACTCATTGCCACTAGCTCAGCGAAGTGGGGCCTCGCTGGCTGAAGTCCATTGGTGAACCCTGAGAAAGCAAAGAAAGAAATGGAGAAATAGAGAATGAACAGTGAGCTACCGAGGGCCTACTTTGGGCACTGCTCATGTCCATGCTGGCTCTCACCACTGTCACCAGAGGAATGTTTGGCAGAGAAAGCTTCAGAAGAAGGGCTTGACATTTTTTGGAAGTATGGAGTTTCTCTGACCTGAGCCCCAGAAAACAGCTTTTAGAGATAATGATACTGTATATGTTATTCAAATATAAAGGAAGTCATGGTTACCTGGAACATACAGTTTATATCAACAGGTAAGGCAAGCCCAATGTAATCTTCAGAGGAGGTGGACACTAAAGAACGAACAGAGGAGGAACGCTGCAGTGTGCTTTGGTTAATTGGACTTAGTAGTTTCTCCTTGTCATGAGATGCAAAACTCATAGCTTTTAAGAATCTGAAAACATAAAACAGCATCTGATTATGCACCAGGAAATATTAATTTATTACAAACATATTTGTACACTAGAACTACATTCATCATGTTCATTTTATCTTACTTAAATCTGGGTCATACCTCTTTGAGGTGAGCTTGGAGTCCAGGCTGCCTGTGTTCATGGTGATGGCATCAGCGTATAGTATGTCTTTGGCTGGTGACACCAGTGCCTCATTATGGGACAAAGAAGGCTGGATGCGCTGGTGCTGCAACCTCCTGAGGGTAGCATATCCCAGAGCATCCCGGGGACTTGTGTAGGCATAATGGGCACTACGGAATCGAAGGCTGCAGCTGCTCAGAGGGGTAACAGAAGGGGACCTGAGAGACTGGGCCCTGCGTGGCAGAGTATGGGATGCTCCAGGAGGAACTAGAGAAATGGAGCAGGACTTGAGAAGGGTCAGAGGCTGTGGGTGTAAGACAATCTGGTTGTTTGTTATGCTGTTTGGGCAGAGACAGTCAGTGCTAGACACCAAGGTTTCTCTTGACTCACTGAAGGAGCTAACGTGGCTGGTGGCAGCACCTATGTTCAGACTCTGACTGCGTATCTTCAAACAATCAATATCCGAAACATCCTTACTCTGCTCAGCTGACTGAACTTCTGTCTCTCCACTGCAATGAGTGCGTTCATTTGATACATCGATCTCATCATTTGAGCCATCTTGAGATTCATTCCCATTTCTGTACAAAAGAAGAGAGTGGTCTCCAAACGAGTGGTGGCAACTCAGTGTCTGGGGATTGTCTGAAGTTGGGTCCACCAGTCTGTACAAGGCTTTTTCAAGAAACTCTCTACTTTCCACTTTCTCTCCATTAAGTCCGATATCTGAAAGTCATTAGATGAAATTAGCTCCATATCTTTTTTACTTTTCCAATAGTTAATTCCTACCTGGATGCCCAGTCTGTGTGCCATTGTGCACAGAGCTGGTGTGGTGTAGAGTGATGGGTTTGAGATGTGCCTCAAACTCCTCTGGGACCACCGGCCACAAGGTGCTGCGACTGTGACGCACCGAGTCCCAGCCCTCCTGCTTCAGCGTCTCACAGCCGTGTTTAGTTTTACTCATCAACCCCAGCACATACACACATGTCCTACAGAGGGGAATGAAGGGGCTGTCACTGAGGTTTTTACAATATGATGAGACATAATTGAAGAGCTTTACCCTCTGATTGAGAGGACCTCACAATGATACGCCAGGGCTACAATGTC